ATATAGCTAATCGCTATTCTTAATAATAAAGAAACTACACGAATTATTAATAATATCGATATACTAATTCCTACTAACTAATTAGCTAATATGCTAGTATAGCAAGATCTTAGGGGTAGAAGTACTACTATAGCTAATTTCGATTATACTATACCTTAAATTTAGCTTACTTCGGACTAAAACCCTTCTAATCTAGACGAAATCCTTAGAGACTAACTAATTATACTACTACTTAATATAAAATTAGACGGATCTATATTAGATCTAGAATAATCCTACTAATTAGATTAGCTATTAGATTAGCTATTCGTCTTAATTAATAATATAAACTTTAATCCCTCTAGCTACGAATATTTTTCTTTAATAACTAAGTACCCTCGATCTAATTCTAATACTAGCCGAGACTAAGATAAGGTAAAACGATCTTATTTTAGTCTTACTATATTTATATAAGCCTTCTTATCTAATTAGATTAAGTAGCTAAAAATCTTGATCTTATTAATCCCTCCTATATCTTCCGGCTATAACTAATTAGCTAGTTACCTATTCGAAGATTAATTCCGATAGGCTATATAAGTTAAATTTAATAAACTCCTTAATATATATATATTTAAACTAATTAGTATAAACTACGTTAGATATACCTACTAATTAAATTATAAGGATCTTAACTAATTAAATTATCCTTAATACTAATTTATTCGAATATAATAGGTTTTTGCCTATAAATTAGACAAATTAGGCTATTTAACTAGGTTTAAAGCCTACCTATACGTACGCAGAGATACGTAAATCCCTAATAATTAAGATATACGTACTAGTACTCTTACTACTAGAATCTTCTATATACTAATAGCGATTATTACCTAATTTAATCTTAAAACCTTTTAGATAGATATAGTTAACGCTTTCCTAAATAGTACGCTTAAAGAGGAAGTTTATTACTAATTGTGAGATATAGGGCAAGATGCCTAAACCGCTATGCAGGATTCATAAGGCCTATACAAGACGGCTGAATCTCAATAAGCTTTATGCTATTATATCATTATTATCCAATCGGATAATCAGGCATGAACAGACGCATCATACTCATGCGATCTACATCATCACTGCGGTCAATGACATCAAGTAAGAAGTATACAACAGTATACGATCTACATCATCACTACAGTCAATGACATCGTACAATCAAGCAACCACCGATCAAACAGCTACTGCATGAGATCACTATGTATCTAGATCTATCTGCATGAGATCATCATGCATCATCTAGAACGATCACATGCAAGAGACAAGTTGATTATAAATATGCCCTGCTTTCTCTACCAAGATAATAATCATGTTTAATACATACAAGCAAGATTCAATATAATCAACCAAGCTTCAGTCCTACCTCACTCTTCTCTCATCTTATCTTTATGATTCTAAGCCGAATTGAACTTATCCTTCCTATTCAATCAAGAGGAAGAAAGATCAATCGATCTTATTTAATCATCTTTAATTTATCTTCCTCTTTACCAACCTGCGCAGCATCGCTTGCTCACATAGATATATACTCCTTTCTACTCCGGGTAATACTATTGCGCTTATAAGAGTGCTTAGAGTAGCTTATACTTAACGGACCTTTAGAAAATATAAGAATAAGACACTATCTAGTATTTCTTACTCTAAATATTAAACGAGATTTCCTAATCTATAATATGATAATATTTCCCCTTAAGAGGCTGCCTTATAAAATTGTAGAAGATATTATCGAGCTTTCACTATTCTTAGAGCCGCTTAGCTCCTATTCTACGCTCTATATATTCTAATTAATTACTAAGACGAAATACTAGCCTCTTTTAAACCAGAAAATTATAGCTGTTTTCAAAAGTCAGCGAATAAGACAATAAATTCAGACCGAATAGTAGCTTTGCCCCGATTTCGATTATACTAGGTACTACCCTTATATTATTAATTATTCTACTAGATTTGACTTACCCTTATAGGCTATTTCTAATTACCCTAAATGTTTCGAATTTCTCTTATATAATAAGATAGTCTAAGGGTCTATATATAGTAAGACCTAAGAAAGTCTCTTAAGTATCGCCGTATACTAAGAAAAGAAGCACCTAGTAGAAAGAATTATTACTTCTATAGACCTAAAGCATATATTTTACCCCGATTCATTACCTTATTTAATACTCGATGTATCTATCTTGAAGATATCTATATACTACGCTCCCTTATTTTAGGATTACTAGATCCGATTCTAGTCTTTACCTAATATAATATTACCTCCTTTAGGGCATCTCGTAATTGAAAATATTTATCGATTCTCGGATACTAAGCTAGCGGCGGAGTTACTTAACTACAGGGTAGACCTAGGTAGATCTTATCTAGATTATAGACTTCCTAGCTAGTAGGGCAGCTTAGCCTAGGAAGACCTAATACCGCTACTAGATTAGTTTTAGGCGTAGGGCTACCGACCTTATCTTAGGAAATACCTAGAGTATACTATAGGATATACTTCTACCTCTACTCTTAGCTAGGTTTTATAGTATATAGAATATTTTAACGACTTACGATAAGCTATATATATCGCCTTAAGACGTATAGATTATACTAGTATAGAAAGACTAAAACTCATCCTCTAGTACTTCCTATATAACCGAATAGTAGACAATAATCTAGTTCAAGATCTTATAGGAGAGCTTATTTAAGCTATATACAAAACTATTTCGGTCTTTTACTATTTCATAAATTATCTACAACCTTTTAGTAAGCAGAAGGTTGATTTAGAAATTATAGCCCTAGAACTTATACTATTTTGAAATTAAAAGCTCTTAGAGATCTTGACTCGGGTATAGGTATAGGATTAATTAAATTGAATAGAAGGGCAAGGCGCGCCGGGTTATACCGATTAACCGAAGTACTAGAGAACCTAGATTAAGGACCTTAACTACTAGAACACTTAGTTATTCTAAAAATTGTATTCGCTAAATTTATTTATAAATGATAAATATTAGAGAAATGAATCATGATTAGAAACAAATATAGGGTTTAGAAGATAAAGTACTACTAAGATACCGAGTAGGTCCCTTCTAGGCTTACTAGGTAGGGTACTAAATAAGACTTCCTAACTAATGACGGAATTTCACTATCTGACTAATATAGTTATACTTTGCTAATCCGATATTTATATCAAATTCTTATATAACAATCATCTTGCGCCTTTACCTACAATGGCGGCTCCAAATTCTAGCTGCAGTTCCTCAAAAGCAAAGGCAGAAGCTATTTGCAGATCTCTCGAGGAACTTGCACTTGACCTATATATTGGGGAGTGCTCTGATAGCTTCAATCCGTTGAAATTTCCAGGAAGCTTAGGGGTATTGCCTATGGACATAATCTGGATGATTCTCGATGAGATTGTGATGGGGGACGGTCGATTAACCCATGGTAGCATCTGAGACATCCGGAAACTGTCGTATGCCACTAACAGATCAGTGTCAAAGCACATGAATAATTATCTACAAACCAAAAAGCCTTTGATGTATCTCTCAGAGAGCCTGAGCGAAGTGAAATGGAGCCCATGGAGAGATACCATCTGGGGCCCTATGGGTATGGATAGTTCACGTCCACAACATCGAGCCTCTCCCCATTAAGGACGATGTCGAGACGAAATCTGATCTTCTCACAGATATAATCTGCTCCGAGTGTCCCGCTTGTTTTGAGTGGATTTCAAACCGCATCTCCGGGCTAGAATGCTCTGGGTTCAATTCAAATGGTTGGAACTTTGTGTCTCTTGCCATACGAGCTGGGTCAATGACCATGCTGAGGTATTTCTTTACAAAGCAGCCCGAGACATTGCCATTGCTTTGCTCATTTTCGAATTATCTATCTGCTACTATAGACAGGCCTATCCATATCTTCATCAAAGACAGGGATGTTCATTTCATTGGAAAACTTATGGAATTTCTTGAGCCCCGGCTCAACAAAATCAATTATCCAGAAGCCTTCAGAAACGGAATTGCAGAGACTCCAGAGCTTAATGCCTTCAATTATGAACTGTCTAAATACAGGTCCTCTCTCTGCAGGTTCGCAACTCCCTATATGGCTGAGACATTGAAGGGAGTCGGTGTAGACCTTTGTGCATTCGAGGACGCATATCACGCCGCGATCTTCAACGGGCGAGACTTTTGGACTACCTTCATGAAAACTCCACACTTTCCAAGACAAACGAGCATTGGTTTAATGGTAAAACTGCTTTTGAATGCGCAGTTGAGGAAAATTGCATTGAATCGGTGCGGTGGCTCAAGCGACATAGAGGGAACGAGATTGGACAGACCGCGCGAATCACGCTGCTCAACAACGTTGCTTCTCGACTGACAAATGAAAGCGAGGTTATGCTTCAGGAACTTCTTTCCGTAGCCGAAGGGGTGATGCTTGATCCCTTTGAATCTGCAAGGTTGGTCCGAGCTATCGTGCGTGGATTGGTCCCGTTTGTGAAAGCTGAAGAAGGTAAAAGAGATGCAGGGGATTTGGCCGAAGACGAATTCCTGTTCTGGAAACGCCAACAAGAAGATCGAGCAATCAGAAAGTGTGCTCTGATTTTAATGGTCTCTTGGAAGGTTCTGGCGAATGGTAGTCAACCGGTTACAGGGGACATCGTTCGTCCGTCAACGGGTCTCGCCACCGATCTTGCCATCGCAGTCAAGAAATTCAATAGCGCGAGTGACACGACTCAGCTAGCTGGATTACAGCGCTTGGCTTGTACTATCAAACGACTTTTCGTTTGATCTCAGTGCGGCATTACGGTGTTGGCTTTAAGGTGAAACAGTGACTCGTTCAGGTTCTTAATTCGGGTTTTCACGGTTTTCAGTTCGTTGAGTATTCATATTTATCGAGTTACATATATTTCCATAAAGTGAAGAATTGAAGAAATTTCGAAATTTTACAAGTAGACACGGTATATAAGAAATTTTGAGACTCGCAATCCTGGTCGTTTTGTCTGCATTCTTCTAGTGCTTCCCGCTTGGGAACAGAATATGCTCCTCACTATCACCGCCATGTGATTGCGTCCCGTAATTCGTTCGGTCTCCATTGGCCGAGACAACCACTGTTATTTGCGCTCCTTCCGACTCGGATATAAGTTCAAAGTTGCTCCTCCTCCTACGAGAAGCGGCTGACTTGGAGGTCGGGTGGACCGAACCAAGCTGATAGGATCGCGACGTGTCGTTATTACGGTATGAGTTAACGGTGGATGCGAAGGCTTTGAACAGGGGGCCGTAGGTTGGAATGCATGAAACAATGACCTAGCAGGCTTGTTAGTTTGACGATGAATTATACCCATGCGAGAACAGTATTTCCTTACTCCAAGGCTGACTTCAATACAAGACCAGATCACAATGTTCTTGCTGTCAGTGTACGTTTTCAAGTCCTTGACCGTGAAGATCCGGATAATTTGGATTATGGTAACAAAAAATCCGAGTGCAAAGAGGGCGGCGAGAATTAGTTTCTGCTTCAATCGAAGTTGTAGTCTCCAAAGCACGGGCAACGGTAGGGCGATAATGATCAGGTCCAACCCAATACTTGTACCTGCGAGGGCAAAATAGAATGGAATTGCGTCAATACATGTTCCCTTGATTGATGAATTCCATTGTTTTGCAACCTGAGGCTGGTTAGAATCTCGCAAGACGAAGAGAAAGAGTAAGCTCACTGGTATGCATGAAACCGAGATGATGACGGCGAAGATCAGTTGATTGATGACGCAGACCACAATGGCAGCAATTATAACTTTTCGGTATAACTTAACGACTCCTGCGATTCGCAGGTACGAAGTCAACAGTGCAACCTTGAAGCCGAGAAGTGCGAGACAGTAGACTGGGCCTCCAAAATATTGAACCTGCAAGTCGATTCACTACGAGTAAGCTTCAATTGACCCGTTCGACGATATCTCAAGACTCACCTTGCTAAATTGAATGACGTTCTCTTCTGGAAAATAAGCAGCGCTGAGACCTTGTCCCCATCTTGTTTCTATAACAACCCGTTAGTCATATCTCCTGTAGAGCTACACTGTTTAGCGCAAGTGTATACTCACGAACCACCGCGATTGCTGCGTAAGCTGCTGCAAAAATTGAACTGGCCAATGCTGCGTAATCATCGACCCATGGAGTTCTGTTTGTCGAGATGCGTACATAGAAACGTAAACAGATGGCTAGGAGGGCGCTCGTGGAGAAGACCAGGCAGATCGTGATCACCCGGGGGATTTCACTATTAGGGTCTGACCGATGGAGGTTGTATACCCAGCCCATTGTGTAGTGTAGGCATTACACTACTCAAGGGTTCTCTTCGAAGAAAAGAGGCGTCGTGTTAATCATGAAGAGCAGTAGTCTGGCTCAGGTCTTATTATAACTCACGAATCCTTCAGACTTAGGAGGCAGATCTAGCGGCATTGAGGGATTTTGCAGAGTCGAGAAGAATTATTGCAGGGATTAAAACTTTGTTCGAAAGGAACCCTGATCCTTGGAACAATAGAGTTACTTCTCCGTTACCGATTCTCTCTCTTTGTGGTATCCTCCTATGCCTTCGGCGGCCTTCTATATTCAAGTATCCGAGCTAATGCACAATATCATTCCTGAAGAGCAAAACTTCTACGATCACATTTTCTATCTAGGCCATGACTTTGGCCCAGCATCAAGTCACGTTCCATGGGTGAGGATTTATAAATGCTCGGCTGGGACCAATCTCCCGGCTCAGTCGGCTAAATTAATCGATAATCTACTTAGGTATTAGCCGAAGTTACTACGCAGGGACCAATGTACCTAGTGAGTTAGCGTACGCCAGAGCAATCGGGATGAAGAATTGCCCGTGTTGAAATAGGCGGATGATGTGCTTCCGATGTGGGCGGGCTGGAATAACTGGCGATATTTCATTGGTGGAGGATTTACAGTTAACCTTGAAGCCTGCGCTACGGTGCTGGTTCAATCCTAAGAATGCTGTTGCCATCATTAAAATAACCTCATTGGACGTAATGGGACTCCACCAACTCAGATGCTTCTGCTGCGATTCTACATTCTACTAGTACTGTATACGAAGTAGCTCGAGTGTTGAGAAGTACTTTATCGGCTATGCGTGGTGATCCCTCGAAGATTTCTTAAAACCTTGCCAGCCCTTCTTTCCAAACACCTCAGACATTTTCCTAGACCTCCTCGTAAACAGTCCCTTCGCCGTTAGTCGAAGTCTATGCAAATTGGAGAAACTCGTTGTTTAAAGCTTAAATCTTGCTAGTCTTCTGGACTAACAGTCCGACTCGAAGGCTTACATCAAGATACACGTCTTCAACAAGGTGATCGCAGTCGGTGTAGCGATTTACGCGCGTTTTCTATCAAGGCTCCTCGGGTGAAACGTGCTCTCAGGAGTGTCGGTTGTGTTTTCTTCACGCCCGAGGCGCATAATGATTTTGTGTAGTCAACATCACTAAACCCGTAAGAAGCGTCTCCGACAGGGATCAAGGAACTGGTCGTTCGCAATAGATTGAGTTTTCAGATTCATTTCCCACGAAAAGTCTTGATGGGTTCAACAAGGTTACTTGGTCCCCACAGTAATGCACAGCCTACCAACTGTACTGTAAGCCTTCCGCTAGGCGGGGACTTAAGTTTAACTAAAATCCTTCATAACCCCGCTCGACCATAATGTGGGATCGAGACTTACCTCCACTTGCTTAAAGTTCTTGTTGTTGAAAATGGTCTATTTTAGAGCGTGCAGTAGTATCCAAACGAAATAGCCGTCGTCTAAGCGAAGCCGACCAACCCCTTGATTTCTGTTGTCCCGTTGGAATAAAAGCCAGGGGACTTCAGACCCGTCATTCTGGTACAAGCTACCTTATCCAAAGTTCAACCAGAATGGCTTTCTGGAAGTTCCTTGTAGCTTCGCTGTTGGCAGCTTCGTCGCTGGCTACGGCTTCGACAGCTTGTCGCTGCTTTCCTGGTGACGCGTGTTGGCCGTCTCAGGCAGCCTGGTCTCAATTCAACCAGTCTGTTGATGGTCGTTTGATTAAGACCACCCCTTTGGGAGCTCCCTGCCATGCTCCCAACTATGACGCCGACACTTGCGCGACATTGAAGTCAGGATGGTTGCTTCCGGAGGAACAGTATGTTGTTTCGTGATTCGCATAGTCGAACTATCAAGGGTCATCGAGTTGACCTGCCTTTTAGTTATGATTCCTCCTCCTCTGTTATGGCACCTTTCTTTGCCAATGGCACATGTGATCCGTATCATGCCATATCTAAGCCCTGCGCCTTGGGCAATTACGTTCGCTACAGTGTTAATGTGAGCTGTCCGGAGCAAATTGCGACTACAATCAAGTTTGCGACGAAACACAACATTCGTCTGGTTGTTCGAAACACAGGTCATGACTACAATGGCCGATCCACTGGAGCTGGTGCTTTGGCTATCTGGACCCACCATCTCAAGGATCTCGAGATTCATGACTACAAGGATCAACATTATGAGGGCCAGGCCATCACAATGGGTGCCGGTGTCCAGGGTTTCGAAGCATATGAGCTTGCAGATGCGAGTGGCTACCAGGTCGTTGGAGGAGAATGTCCTACCGTTGGCCTTGCTGGCGGATACTCTCAGGGTGCTGGGCATTCTGCGCTCGCTTCGCGCTATGGCCTCGCCGCTGACCAGGTGTTGAAGTGGGAAGTCGTCGATGGCCAGGGCAACATCATCACTGCCACTCGCGACAATGATTACTCAGACATCTTCTGGGCTCTTAGCGGTGGTGGTGGTGGCACCTACGGTGTCGTCTACTCTATGACCTCGAAGGCCCACCCTGCTACCCCGGTCTCTGGTCTCAATTTGACCTACTATACCACCAATCTCACTCTGGATACCTTCTACGAGACTATTGAGGTTTTCCACACTAACCTGCCTGCAATCGTCGATGCCGGTGCCATGGCGATTTGGTACTACACCAACGCTTTCTTCTCAATTTCCCCAATCACGGCCCCCAATATTCCAGTTGCCGATCTGATCGCTCTGGTCAAGCCTTTCACCGACCATCTTGACAGCCTCAACATCAACTATACCATGTCAGCTAGCCAGTATGATACCTACTATGACCAGTTCCAAGCCATGCAAGGCACCATCGAGGTCGGCACAGCGCAGTATGGAGGCTGGCTCGTCCCGAGATCGGTTGTGGAGAACAACAACACGGCTTTGGTCCAGGCATACCGCGAGATCACTGAGGCTGGTGCTACCTTCATTGGTGTCGGCCTGAATGTTTCCAAGAAGGGGGACGTTTATAACGCAGTTCTCCCTGCCTGGCGTGAAGCTCTGATTGATACTACCTTGACCACCCCGTGGGAATGGGATGACCCGGCCCTGATGCTGGAGAGACAGAACCTGATGACTGATGTTTTCCTTCCTAAGTTGGAGGCACTGTCTCCTAACTCGGGCGCCTACATGAACGAGGTTAGTTTATTTGAGTCTTTGCTATTGTTTTTGTCAGTGCGTAATACTTACTATCTCTTAAAGGGCGACTTCCGCCAGCCGAACTTCAAGAAGGCCTTCTACGGCGTGAACTATGATGCCCTCCGAAAGATCAAGGCGAAGTACGACCCGAACAGCGTCCTGTACGGCAAGACTAACGTCGGATCTGACGAGTGGCGTGAGCGTGAGGATGGGCGACTTTGCCAGGTCTCTCAGTGGCAGCCGGATTGGGTCGAGTTTGGCACTGTGTATTAATATAGAGCGTAAATTGTGTAGAATCTTGCCCAGGGCTTGACTTCAATTTGGTGCTAGACAGTCATGAAAAAAGGAGGAGCCAGCAAGTGGATGATCATTCTGTTCAGATCAACTATTGTACATATTTACACAGTCATCAACATGCTGGCATTTTTGTACCATGTCAACAACGGGTTTTCCCCATTCCTCGTCTCCGTATCTTCGACATAAGCCCAGCGGTCCACAAAGTCCTCATGACTCATGACCTGAGTCAATTTACCAGTGACTGCACGATACATGTCCTCAATGACGTTAAAGTCAGTGGGGAAGAAGATATCAAAGTAACCTTGATGAACCTATAGAAAAATCATTAGCTTAGCCCGCGAAATTGAACCATCCAAATTGAGGGAACTTACAAATGGAGTCGTCACGGGCACGGTTCGCCGCTGGTATCGAGTCTGCACCACGGGTGCATTCAATCCAGGTACTGCGTCTGGCAAGGAACTGAAATCACTTGCCACAAGACGGTGGGCTGGGAAGTACTGATTCAACACGTCGAAGAACTGCATCAGTCTGGTTGGGATATATTCGGGCAGGGAGAACTCCTTCCCAAAGGGTGGCGCGGAGCGGATGCCACGAAGGTACCAAGGACCAAGTGGACTGTGGAATGGGCGCCGGGATGCAGCTTGGCGGACGCGCAAAAAGCGAGCGGCAACAGGGTCGAGCTGTGTGTTGAAATATTCGTGGAACTCGCCGTCCGCGTCGATCAGCACTCCACCTTGCTGTGGGAGCTCGGTACGACTGTTGTAGCGGACGGTGTCATGACCGAAGTTATCGAACACCTCAAGGGCAAGGAAAAAGCAGGGGGAATGCACATATGTATCCCAATCGAAAATAGACCGGTTAATGATCTCGACGCGGTCTCGATGGCCCTTGGAATTGAGGGTCTCCAGCAAATTTTTCGTCTGCAGATCTGCGAGGGCAGGCGAAATCTCAATGATCTTGTACTTGGTGCGCTGGTACACCTCGTAATCTGTATCACGAATGAAATCGAGAATGTTCAACATCATTGTTCCGTTTCCAGCACCCATCTCGTAGATGATCAGGTCGTGATATGGATACAGCGTGAGCTTGTAATTTGAGACAAGATACCGGGCAATTGTCTCGCCGTAATATGGCCTGAACAATTCGGTCGGTGTATGCCAGAGTTGCCGCGCGATATCTGGCTTCTTCTCATCGAGTAGGTCCTCAAACTCCGTGTATCTCTGGCCTAGGAGCCGATGAAAGGCAGGTCCGTCTTCGATGCTATTGAAGTCAAATGGCTCGCCGGGACTGAAGATGGTCGCATGTTTCGAAAAATAGCCGTAATGCGGGTTATACAAACTGTCTGCAAAGGGGATATTAGAGATTGCTTCTCAGTCTCCCGAACAAGTTCGACCTTCCCAACCTACCGTCGATAAACTCGCGGGTCAGCATCTTAACCTGCCGCGGGCGCTCGCGCCGATTCCGCAGGTCCTTCGCTGTCACCGTTGGATATGACCAGTACTCCTCGTCGATGTTCTTTGGGTAGTCCCCGCGCTTCGTCCAGAGCAAGCCATCGCCCTGGGATTTGCGCTTAGTGGGTGTCCGCCGGGTGAGAAATGTGCGTGTTTGGCGGGAGACTGAGGATGGCGGCCTTCGCAGTGACTGGCAGGCCGGATGCCGAAAGAGCTGTCGAAACAGCTGGTTGAGGACGGGCGAGTCCATGGTGCTTGAAGCGAAAGGTTAGAAGCACGGAGATCGGTGGATATGGGGTCAGTAATGGAGCTTTCTTGCAGCCTCAGGCAGCAGTTCACGTGCCTGAAGCCATTGGCTGCACCTTGTTCATCGCAAGCAAGTTTCGAGGTTCTGACGTTGAGTCCTATATTGAATCTTTACTTTATTTCCCTCTAATCACATTTACTCAATCTTGAGTTTGAAACAAGCATCAAATCACCATTACGCTATCATTTTGAGGTCCGTCAACTGGCCACCAGATTGAGCACGATCGTGGTCCGAGCGCCCTATCCCAACCTTTCATCAAGCTCATTTCATCGGCCTTGAGCTAGAGAGCAACTCGGAATTAACCCACAATGCCGGACCATTCCGCAGTCTACATTGGTTCTGCATTCGTGGCCGGAGTCTCTCTGGGCCTTGTGTGCAGAGAAGTTCTTTATCCGCATGGTCATCATGAAAAGTCGGCAGACTCCAATCCAGCATCACACGCACTTGTCGCGCGGTCAGGTCCCCCGGCAATTGTGGAGGGTATCCAAGGATGCATTGGAAATACACCGTTGTTTCGCATCAAGTCCTTATCCGACGAAACAGGGTGTGAGATCCTGGCCAAGGCTGAAGTATGTACACAGAATATGGCTGCGGCGTAGTGAAAATATATCTAACCACTCTGTGTTCAGTTTTTGAATGGTGCAGGCCAGAGCTCGAAGGACCGTGTAGCGCTCAGTATGATCGAAATAGTGAGTCAATACTGTGTGATTAATCTACACATCGAGTTCAAATATACTAACATCCAATTTGGCGACAGGCTGAAGAAAAGGGCATCCTCACACCATATTCTGGTGACACAATTTACGAGGGCACCTCAGGTTCAACTGGAATTTCTCTTGCGAGTCTTGCTCGTGCTAAAGGATTTCTAGCTCATATGTATGTGCTATGACGCCATTGCCTTCACTCCAAATACTAAGTCCACCAAACAGCTGCATGCCTTCAGACCAGGCAATTGAAAAATCAAATCTACTCCTAAAGCTAGGCGCCATAGTCGACCGCGTGCCTCCAGCTCCCATCGTCGAAAAAGAAAACTTTGTCAATCGTGCGCGAGCACTCGCCCAAAAGCACACAGAATCAACGAGTGTCCCCGTTACTTCTGAAGAAAACGGCCACCTAGAGACGCACGAGCTCAAAGTCCGCGGCCGTGGGTTCTTCGCAGACCAGTTCGAGAACGAGGCCAATTGGCGCGCTCACTACGCCGGCACTGGTCCGGAAATCTACGCCCAGTGCAATGGGAAGATTGATGCTTTTGTGGCCGGTGCAGGCACTGGCGGCACTATCTCTGGTGTAGCGCGGTATCTCAAGCCACTGCTTCCTAATATCACCATCGTACTTGCGGATCCGCAAGGAAGCGGGCTGTATAACCGAGTGCGTTATGGTGTTATGTTTGACTTGAAGGAGCGGGAGGGTACGCGCCGACGGCCGCAGGTTGATACTATCGTCGAGGGCATTGGAATCAATCGTGTCACTGCGAATTTTGAGGCTGGCAAGGAGTTGGTTGATGATGCGGTGCGTGTGACTGACGCTCAAGCACTAGCTATGGCTAGATTTCTAGTGGAGAAGGATGGAATCTTCATTGGAAGCAGCAGCGCGGTCAATTGTAAGTTTCTTTACCTTCTTGGTTGGGCCATTGGGATGAACATGCTAACATACTTACTTTACAGGCTTCGCTGCAGTTAAGACAGCGCAGAAGCTTGGCCCAGGTCACCGAATCGTGACTGTCTTGTCTGATTCTGGATCACGGCATTTGTCTCGATTCTGGGCCAAAGCTGGAGATGTTGGAGGAGCGGTTGACACAAAGTTGGAAGATGTGCTTAATGCCCGTGATGAGGACTTTCAATAGATGTAGCCTAAGGTATGTATAATAGTACAAGCGGGATGATATCCCATAACCATCCAAGCCAGAAAGCCAACGAGCAGCCAGTACTCTGTATACTCTATTCATACCAGGCTGTGGTGTCTCAATGGAGACTTCTTGGGAGTCACCGAGACGTAACGACTCGGTAACGGGCTTTCCAGAAGAATTGCGGACAGCTTAGACGGTGAAGATGCTCCGCTGACGAGCATGACCTCGTCATGGTTATTCACATCGTGGTCATCATCACTATCCACTAGATCTTCAAACTCACGATGGCCGTGCGAGCGTGGGGAAGGTAGTTCAACATCATACTCTTCAACAAGGGTGGGTCCATCAACCTTGGACTCCTCGACGGCAGTGGCGGAAGTCTCGGACTGTTTTTCCTCGTCGTGACCAGGCTCGTCATCGTCTGGATCAAAAATAATTACCTTACTCTCCGTCTCATATTGCACAGATTCGAAAGTAGCAGTATTGGGAGCGGTCATGGCCACCGTAGCACGTTGCTCGCCCGCCCAAACATCATCTCCAACCCAACTGCGGAGTAACTCAAACTCGACCTCTGCCTGGGAGCGCTCCGATAGCTCGGTCATAATCTGAAGCCAAGAGAGCCCCGATCGACCTGCTAGTGATTCCAGGGTTTTCAGCTCAGCCTGCGACCATGGCGCTGAAAGTTCGGGCGGGCACGCCCGGCGATCGCTCCAGTGAACCTGATTCCACTGATAGATCTGCGTCAGTGTGCGACCTGGTAGGGCATTCTGGACCTCTTTCCAAGTTCTTCCTTGTGCATATCGCATGCAGACTATCAACTTGACGTCGTCGGGCGAGAATTTGGTATGAGGCTTGATCGGCGAGTATTTTAATGGCGAGTGGGCGGTAGTTCGGGAGTGAGGCGATACCGGTGAAGGTGAATCATATGGTAAATTGTGATATTGGACTGCCACATCGCTCGTTATTGGGCTTTGTTCCGAGTGGTTGCCCTGATCATGTCGTTCAGGCTCTGTACCCGGTTGGTCGTGCACAGACAGATCGGCTTGGGCAGATAAATGGCGACTGGCATCAATCCGACTTGTAATTAATGACTCTATGTTTCGGTTTTCGTCGACGGGCTTAATTTGACAATCAAAATCTCGCTTGTTCGTAGTTTTGACCTGGCGTGGGAATGGCAGAGGCGATGATGGCCACTCCTCTTGCAGCGGGTCGTCCGATTCGTCGCCGTCGGCAACTTTGGCAAAAGACCAGTCGCGCGCCACGGGGCTTGACTGATGCTTGCGCTTCGCCCGAGATCGGCTTTTGCTCGGGGTTGGTGTCGCTAGGGCTTTCCCATCCTGACGCGATCGTGGTTGACGTCTTCGCGGAACTGTCCATAGCGATCCGGACCCTGGTGGAGAGGGTTGTCGGGAAATGTTTGGGAGCTGAGGGGTTAGGTTGGCGCGTCGCTCCTCAAGTTTGGGCGTCGTGAATAGCGGTGGCAGTTCAGGGGCTTGCCAGAGAGGGTCTCTTGGGCCGGGGTCCTTCTCGATATGGTGCAGTGCTGGTGAAGGCTTTTCTTTCGACACCGACGGACTGGATGCTGGGATTCCAGACCCGGGGCCAGAGGACGCCAACGCGGAGTGACAAAGGAAAGCACTTGCATCATTTCCGGCTGTGCCAGAGCCCAATAACTCGTTCTGGGGACTGTGCTCCGAAGCAGCATCGTGAGTCTCGACCGCATCCTCATCTTGGGCGTGCGCCTCCTCGTCGTCTGAGCCGAAGGGGTCTGTTTCCCAGGGCTTTTCTTTGTTTCCAATATCGGTTTCCTCATGCATGGCCTGTAAGTGACCATTATTGACTACGATCTCGCCGGTTTCCAGGTCAATCTCATCGCCCACTTCCGAGAAATCATTGCCGTATTTTGCAAAAATTCCCTCAAAGATCGATTTCAGGCGCAAGTCATTCTGAGCACGCGCTGCTTGTAGATCCCACTCCTCCGACACTACTTCTGTGTCTTCCGGTGAGTCGGGGGTAAAGGTGAGTCGCGGTCGCTTCAGAGGGCGTTCAGTCATGTCATTCAAGGGCTCATGGTCATCCATATTCGCGTCGATGTTTGTGTTGCTTCGCGGGCAGAGAATCCACCGCGGCTCGAAATTCGTTGTCAAGTCGTTCGGCGCGACTGAAGAGAGGCTAAGGGATCGAGTAGGAACGCAGCATCGTTTGGCCGATGGAAAGCGAAGTCTGTAGATCCTCTCGTAGTATACTCATCGGCGAATGAATAAGGCGCGGAGAGGAAAATAAGAAAGTAGGACAGTTGGCATGTGCCACGCGCCGCGGTGAACGAGGCAAAAAGTTGAAAAACAAACGGCATGACGTGCCCGCCCGGAGCTCTCCCCCTCAACTTCAACCCTCCCCCCCTACACTGCATCCTCCTCCCCAGAGGTCGGACTGATCGCGACCTCTAAACGCCATGTATTGTCAGAAGTGTCGGACACCGCTCAAGTTGGATGGCTCACTGGAGTCGCTTAACCCGGCTGCTTTTGAGCTGCTCGTCAGTAAGCCGTGACCACTCGTGCCCAGCCGCATATTGATCCCTAACCAAGCTCTCGGTCTAGACTCTACGGGCAAGACACTCTCCGATCATGGCACTGCATCATCGCCACGAGCTTCCTACCCTGCAGACCATCGGAAACACTACGATAGGGCATCTCAAAATGCTACAACCCCGGTTTACAGGAGATCTATCCCTGCCCCACGGTCGGGGGACCAGCCTCATCCTCCAGGGATTCCACGAGCTGAGAGCGGGAATATGTCCTTCGTGATGCTTACAGAGTCCCAGTTTGTGCCTCCACCCATTGAAAGTGCCCTGCCAGCTCGGCCCAAGGGCAAGAGCACTCAGGGTCTAGGCCGTAATCAAGAGGATGGGTCATTTGCCAACCAGGTCGAGAAATCCAGCCGCCTGTTTGAGATTGTCTCGTCACGTTCGGATATCGACCACCCCATTTGCGTGGAATGCACAGATTTGCTAGTTGAGGCCTTGCAAAAACGACTGGCGGGTTCAACAAAGGAGCGCGACGCATATATTTCGTTTCTTCGAAATTTGAATACGGCGATTCCGACTACAGAAGAATTCGAAGCGGCTGAGAAATCCCTTCAAGAAAGCTTGGAAACCGAAAAAACAATGTTGGCAGAAATTGAAGCCTTGGAGCGAGAGAAGGCCAAATTGGATGAAGAGATTGGCTCTTTGGAAGAGCAGTCGCAACAGTTGGATGCAGACGAAGAGAGGTTCTGGCGCTCTCGGAATGGCTTTGCCCTGACGCTGGGAGAGTTTCAAACTGAGCGGGATGCATTGAACATGCGCTACGACCATGACTCGCAGCAGTTGGAGCGCTTACAGCGGACGAACGTCTACAATGACGCGTTTTGCATCGGTCATGATGGATATTTTGGTACTATCAACGGGCTGCGGCTGGGTCGGTTGGCTAATCCCTCGGTTGAGTGGCCCGAGATCAACGCTGCATGGGGTCAAACCTGTTTACTCCTGGCTACCATTGCAGAAAGGCTGGGCTTTCAGTTTCAAGGATATCGCCTTCGTCCACTGGGTTCCACTTCGCGGATTGACAAAATTGAGTACCCGGCACAAGCGTCCGGAACGGCTGTCAATGAACGTGGCGCCCCCAAAGTCACTCCACTGGATCTATTTTCGTCTGGCGACCTTCCGCTGAATCTGCCTTGGCTACATCGTCGCTTTGATAGCGGGATGGTGGCGTTCCTAGACTGCCTACGCCAGCTTGGGCAATTCGTTGCTACGACCCCTGTGCCAGTAGCATCGGGCCGTCGCGGTCAGGCCAGCGGCGCCACTGCTACTGCGCCGGGATTGAGGCTGCCCTACGAGATTAAGAAGGACCGTATTGGAGATGCCAGTATCAAGCTCGGATTCAACCAGAACGACGAGACTTGGACTCGGGCTTGCAAGTATACCCTCACGTGCTGCAAGTTCCTGCTCGCGCACGCTAGTAACGTCGCGAGTGCAGGCTCTAGTAACTCGGCGGCCGTTGCAGCAGCTGCCGTGGCAGCTGCTGAGCAGGGTCGGCAGACGTCTTCTTCTAGTCCTGCCAAGCCTCGAACATGAAAGAAGATCCTGGCTGGCTGCGACTCTGTTCAATCAAGGGGGTGATGTAGTGAAATTTGCATGCATCATCCTTTTTCAACAGCCCAACCCCCTTCCATTTTGTCGCTGGCCCCCTAGTCCTGATATTTGAGCAAGTCGGGCTCAGCTGAGCTGAGAGCCTAACCCCGAGATAGACCGAAGAGACTACTCGGTTTCTGCGATGCCCTATTACGGGAGGAGTCTCATATCGTGGTACTTTTGAGATGATGAACTATGTGGCTGTTAGCCCAAGCACGACATGCATCTCATCCACCCCCAAGCCCTATTGGCCCTTGATCTGTCCTCGATCGACGAAGCATAACTGCCAATCTCCCCCCCCCCCCCCCCCCCCCCTGTCATCTGCTGGTTGGATGCAGTACGCCCACTCGTCCGCTCGTGGCCTACGGATTACGGATCTGTTCCATTCATATCTGGCCTAAGCATCTGGCCCTCTCGGGGGTACGAGGAATCCACTTCCGCGATGCTTCCTGCAGCGGCGTTGTTGCGCCCGCCATGGCCACGATTCACCCTCCCTTTAATCCGGTCTGCGCTCAACATCCCAGTACCTGCATGCGATCCGAGCCGGTGAACGATGGCCCGTGGGGCGTGGGCCTATCGCCTTGGCTGCGGCAGATTTCTCCGGCGGTTTCGGTCGGCGTCTGAACGGTGGTGGTGGATTGTGGAGCAGGGTCCCACGCGGGTATCCTCTTTGTCTATTTTCTTCTACCCCCTGCTTCCTGATTACGATATCCACATTGTATGAGTGGGTTGAGTGGCTGCGCCTGTGTCTTGTTCCCACTCATCCACCTCATCACACCCCCAGTATGATCACCTTCTATCATGTAGCCGGAACACAAAGCACGCAGGACAAGACCCGATAAATAAAGCACCAAAAGGGATTCAAGCCACTCACGGGAGGACCGCTACTCGCGCGGCCCCGCATTTTAACAGCGAACCCTCAGATCGATACCTGTTCGAGATTAGCCCCCGGAGCATGCACGCAGGAGGGACGGGTGCCCGATCGTTCCACTCGCTACCCCCTGTACTTGTGCCTCATTCTCGACACTATTCAGTATTGAGCACCAACCACTGGGCCTGGGGCCATGGGCACGAGAGGTACATCCATACAAGGTACCAGGGCAAACGTACGAGTGATGCCCAGTACCTCTCGTTGCACCTTTCATCTATCGGCGACGAGGGGAGTCCTCCCCGACGGCGTCGATCCATGCAGCCCTCGATGCCTTGCCACCTTGACAGGCTAACACACACACTGATCGCATTTCATTCCATTTCCGGCCTCCGCGCGTTCGATTGTACGGACAAGTATGGCGTGGGTTCTAGCCCATTGCCAACGGGGCCAGGGCCGTTGTTCGCCCTTTTTGTCTTCCCTCTCGGTTCGATGTGGGCCCCGTTAGTTACCGGCCGGGCCCATGCCCCCATCTTGCTAATCGCTAGCTTGCTAATTGTCTGGAATCTCCAAATCATGGATGGAGTCTGGAGTCTCTACTCTATCACCAAGTCGCCGTACTTTTGTCGGCCGGAACAGACCAGGGGCAGAGGGGCTAACAATGCAAAAATCCACACTCCACACGCGATCACCATGTACCTCTGTTCCCGCCGCTACCTATGAGATACTTTACGGGCGTACCTAACTACATGGGAGTTGCTGAATGAAGGTACCATACTGACTACTCCGTACTTACTCTTAACTACATTTATTGGCCGTACTTCCAAGCACCCAACTCTTTTGCTCTTTTTCTTCCTTTCCCCCTTCCCTTCCCTGTCTACCACATCGTACTGAATTCATCTTGTTTCCTTCTTGCCACAGCATTATCCTGTAATGATGGAAAATTATTTACCTCGTAAGATGCACCTGACCCCATGACGGACCAAAGGCCTGAGTTTCGGCCGGCACAAAGAACCCCCCGTGAGGACGCGAACTCGAGAAGAGACCAAAGCGCAAGAATGCGCGCGTGGGGATTCCCCGCCTGCCTGAGTCCATTTTCGTCTGGGCATCTCCTACGGCCCCCCTTGATTTTCCAATCAATTCTTTACGTGATTTTTCATTGAGGGTGTAGAGCGGTTGGGAGGAAGAATGGATGTTGTGGCAAGTCAATCATGAGGATGGCCGATCGAGTATACGTTGCCCATTGCGAGGCCCGTCCATATCCGAGTCATTTTTTGAATCCATGGGGGGCCAAAAAGGATAAAAAAGATGCAAATTTTTACCATAGAGAGAGAACTGTTTTCTCTTTTTTTCTTTCTTTTATTCTCGTCTTTTTCGCCCATTGTTTTCTGGGGATGATACTTGTCTCTCAACGGCGAGGCATGTTCCAACGGCTGTCCCACCCTTGCGTCGACGGGACAGAGGCACACGAGGGCGAGTCATCGAGGTAAAAAGCTTCACCCTTAGCGAGGAGTCCTACCTACATGCTGTCGCTCTTGAAGAAAAAAGCAAATATAAAACAGAATTAAAACAGCCCAGGGATTAGCTTACAGGGTCTACCCTGGAAAGGAGGATCGTTAACATATTATGTATGGAGCCCTTCTGTATGTGTTCGATTCACTTCCTTCTTTACCCCCTCTCTTTCAGGAGGGACTTGCTCAGGTGGCTTTGAAAATACCAAAGCATCGGGTTCAATTAGTGTCGGGGAAGCAGAACAAAAAGACAAAGAGCTGTCAGGGAAGTTTCGGGCCGCTCCCGATTAGCATGGGTTCGCAGCTAAGGAAGGATCCTTTGTATGGGGATGGGGTAGTATTTACTGGATCCTGGTATACCATCAACTACTATAACTATACAAGTACAAAGTAACTATGGCACGCATAGTTAATAATATAGCAGATATAGTAATAGCATCGAGAAGGGATGATCGTCCGATCAAGGATAACGTGCTAAACTTGCCCCAACCGCGAGTCAGGAGACGGTCGGACTGAGCCGAGGGCGTCAAGTATGCTTGCTGACTACCAAACTGCAGCCTGCTAATTCGCAAAGGGTATGATTCCAAAAAGGTAGAAAGAAAAATAGAGAAAAAAAAAAAAAAAAAAAAGGAAAATGGGGAGGGAGAGAGGCAGCGGAAAATGCATCCAATTTGCGGCCAGTGCACTGCATGTAATAGTTCGGTTAGACTGTACAGTAGCCCCGGCCAAAAGTACACGATGGGGTTCAGCTCCACTCGCCAAACAGTCCTGTCATTGAGTCCTGAAGTGGCTTTTAGTGGAAACCCCTCGACGTTGGTCCAGCCCCATGCTGGTCCATGCTTATGCTGAGTCTCCTGTACTGTAGTACTTGGAGTTGATAGTGGCCATAGTTCCCATTAGAGCGACCAGGTAGAAGATGGTCCATTTTGATTCTTTTTGGCCCCCATCCCGTACAGGACTCGTAACTATGGGGCCCGCTCATCCGTCGATTAAGTTCCCATTTCGCCTTCTGATGATGCGGTGCTTTTGGTCGGCCACTGATAAGTGAAAGAACTGCAAATTCTCATTAGTTCATTAGTACGGTCGAAGTGAACTCTTGGACCGCAATCAGGCCCGCGATGTACTTGGTATAAATGCCTCTGTCTGGCGTTACAGCTTCTAGAAGCGCATCCCACCTAGGAGGCTTATAGTATTCAGCATCTTTGGAGACTACTACTAGCTATACGGAGTCCTTAGTGCTTAGTATTAATGGGACTTCTGTACTATCGTGATCTGCCCCCAAATCCCGGCCCGCACTTTGTACCTTGTCACCACCATGACCCTGTCAACTCCCGTAATTAACTAACTCCTTAGCTTTTCTTCGTTCAACCCGACGGAGATCTTCTGCTGTAAACCCCCCCCCCCCCCCCCCCCCCAAAAACCGAGTAATTCATGAATATGATAGACAGCAGCAGAGAAAGGGCCCGTCACCGTTGACGATCATGACACTGACAAGCGCTGCAGCAAGATGGAGCCACACTGGGCCCATGCCGGGCGGCGCTGATTTGGTCGGGGAAGCAGGGGGTCGTGCGTCCGCGCGCCGCAACTCGCCGTAAAGAGTAGTCGAGAGATTCCTTGGCCACCCCCAGCCCTGATCTGATTCTGAGGTCTGTGGTCTGTGGTCAGTGGAGGAGAAGGAAAAAGAGGAGAGAGATGGTATCGAGTCAAGTTGTTCTGCGGCTGTTACAATGTTAGTACCAAGTATGATACAGGGCTTTGTTGAGCTTTGGGTGAGGATCGGGGAGATAGTCTGGAAGAATACATACAATATTGATAATTATAGTAAAATAAAACTAATCAAGATTATGATGATGATTATTATTTGTTTCTTTTTTAAAGAGGGGGATTGTTAGGTGCAGGGTTTCTTTAGGGGAAAGGCGTTTTGTCTGGTCGGGGGTCTTTTTTTTCACGTCTGTTTTAGGGAGGAGTCTTGTCTTTTTAGGTCTTTTTGTCCAAAGTTGCCTGGTGATCGCATTCTTCTCTGCACTCTGCATTTTGGCACTGGGTTTCCGGCCTTTATATTATTATTGCCTCTTTATTGTTTCCTTATTTCTTATTCCTGATTCCTGATTCCTGATTCCCTATTCCTTATTCTTGCTCTCTCTTATTCTATCATTTCTCTTCCGGTACTCGTCACATTTTGCCTTCCATTATCGACATCTCCTCCTCCTCCGTCCAGGCCCTTCTCGTCCCAATTTCGATATTACCTATTCCTACTTGACAGAGTTTCTCCGACTGATTGGAGATCTTCCTCTCAATTATCATTTTTCCTCCGTCCAACATCTCCGCCTTCAATCATCTGCAAACCACTTTCCATCTTCCCCCAATTCCGACTGTCATCATTATTATCTGCTTGTAAACTTTCCTCCAACTTCTTCCTAACCGATTAATCAAGAGGGTCAGTTCGTCATGGACTCGTACCCTCCACCATCGTCCATGACCCTCTCCCCTCAATCGCCGCCCGTCGGTCAACCATCGACCGTTTTCCGGCCCCGCCGATCCGACGACTGGCACGAGTATCGCGAAATCATCGAGCAACTCTACCGCAACGACCAGCTTAAACTGCGTGATGTGAAGCGCATTATGGAACGGGACTACAAGTTCTATGCCTCGTATCGCTCCTACTTTCCTTGATTTCATTTCTTTTTCCCCCCTTCCCTGCCGAACTTTATAGATCCATGTCTATGGTCATTGTCATATGATATCTTCATATGATATATTGCTTCGTATTTGGCTTGTTTCCAAATACTATGGAGCTGACTCCTTACCCTGTTGCCTGTTCACTGAATTCGTTGCATACTTCTTTTTCCCCGTCATCTACATTAACAACCAGAGTACCCTAACATTCCCGATCTCGCTGGCAGAGAAAAACAGTACAAAGACCGCCTCGCCGCATGGCATGTCCGGAAGAACATCAAGGCTAAAGAAGTCCACTTGATGATTCGCAAACAGCAGAAGCGCGCCGCCCGAGGGAAGGAAACTGCCTTTCGGGTAAATGGGCAAAATGTTGATCCCAAACGCATTGCACGCTTTCTTCGCCGCTACGGTAATTCGTGGGACCGGGATCGAGATCAAGATCGAGATCGAGATCTTGAGGATCAAAGTCCCGAGCCGAGTATGTTTATCATATCCGATTGATGGCAATAAATCTGACCTAATGCTAACAATCATCTTCAGAAACCCCATCTGATATGACTTGCTATACGCCTGAACCAGAGGAGAATGCTGCTACGCCAGTCTCTCCGCCAGACATCCAGTCACCTACGAGGGAGACATCGACGTATCCCCTCGGTTACGGTAAGCATCGTGCTTTCTTTCATATCCACCTCGTCAAGGGGGTATTCTATGAAACGAAGTTAACCGTACCAGACCCTACCTCAATCGACACCCTCCCAGATCTCATCATGGACGATGACCACCACACTTACCCACTACACATGCACCCCAACCAGCCACGGCGAACTTACCACCCCTCAGAGTCTACCCTGCAACCGGTAGCCCATCAACTCATCCATCAGCACACACCCTGCCCCATCCATCAGTCAACCATCCACTAGTCCACCCAGTACCACACCCGGTCATCACATCTTCCCAGAATACCGACCACCATCCACCCGTGGCGCTCCCACTGCCTGGATCCTCGACGCAGCAGCATCGGGGCGGCATGAACGGCCCGCCGGAAATGTTTACGCATTCGAGTAGTTATGCCAGCCTGGATGCGTTTCAGAGTCGACTGGGTGAATTGCAGAACACGCTCAACGAGTCCATGGCGAAGTGGGCACGTGAGCAGGATCCTAACCAGGAGATTCCTCATCATGAGGGATTGGGTCTGTGATGTGATGTGATGTGATGTGATGTGATGTGAATGGAAGTTCTGGCTATTCTATTCACGCCGATTCTATGGTCATTGACTTGTTCTATTGGATCGGGTTCTGTGTTGATGTGATCCTTCTATGATGTATATGGCCCGTCTTCATCTTTTTCCCCCTGCCCATTTTTCATCTGGAGCGTGTGTGTGCTCTTTCCGTTTTTGCCCATTTTTTCTCTCTTCTCTTCTCTTCTCTTCTCTTCTATTCATTTCTTGTCTCATTGGCCCTCATTGTCACTTTCGTTTTCATTCTCATTCTCATTCCCCTTGTTCTTATTCATTCCCCATTTCCACTCATCACGTATCCACGCATTTCAGAAACAGGGAAGATCGAGAAAGAAAAAATCATAGCAATGGCGTTTTGTTCTCCTTTTTGTCTACCTGGCGCTATCCATCCATCTCCTTGGCTTGGCCGAGTTTGTTCCCTAGAGCGGGAGGGGGGTCCTGGTTTGATCGACTCTGCTGCGTGTGGCACTACTGACTCCATCCACCATGTCTCCCGCGTATATTGATCGATCCGGATCAAGATCAAGATCAAGATGAAGATCATCCCCGCTCCCCCATCTCCATTCCCATCTTTACTTCACATAAGCGCTGCTGCTTCGTTTCGACATCTGTTTTTATTGATAAATTTTGCACTGCACTGTCGTGTGGTGGGTTTAAGTATAGCTTCCATAGAAGTGCATATTTGGGTTAGGTCTATACAGGATATCATCATGTACCATGCTCCTTCATCAATTGTTGTTTCACCACCGTGACTGGGCCAGTCCAGACTCTAGTACCCTAGGTCTGCTGCCATTACATTTATCGGTGATAGTGCTATTGTCATACTTCCACCCTCGTCTTCACCTCCTACCGCAATTAGTCCCGTTTATGAGAGCTTTATCGTATAGCCAACTAGAGGGTGCATCCTGACTCTAGACTACATCCATTCTGGTGTGATCTGGTCAGCTCATCCTCCTTGGCAGTTCTCCTAGAATGTCTAAGTAGGGCATTAAGTCCCGCCTAGGCAACCTAAACCCCTATCCCAAACCGAGAAAGGGCTTTGTTGACCATTCGTGCTTGAGATATACTTGTATGAAAGGACAGAGGCGTAGTGACCTAGGTCTCATACTTTGCAGGTCATTCATTAGTTTCGAGTATTTACACCGATAAAATGCAGCCCTAGGGTGGTAAGAAAAAGAAATATATCACATGTGTGCTACCTATGTATGGAGCGTCTGGGATACCACCATCTACTCCGTAGATAGCCCTACTTAAACTACCTAGTACCGGGTAAACAAGCCTTCTACGTTACCATAAACTCTCAACAAAAATCATGGGTTAAATTCCCATATGTAAATGTAGATTGAAATGCGCCCAATAAATAGTAGATACAGATAAATCCAAGAGTATGACCATCGCTAAACCAGTCCCGATCCCAAAGAAAGGAGGACATAAAGGAAAAAGATAAAGAAAAGAGATTGAGAGGAACACAAACAAGAAGAGCCCAGACGCTCAAGAAGGAGGGTTCATGGGCGGTGGGGTGGATGTGGGTGTCAACATGACTGGATCCGTAGATCGTCAAGAAAGGGGTTCAAGACTGTAGCGTGCGCGTGATGTGGAGGTATATGTATGGGGTTGAGCGGGTGAGAGGGTCGTGAGTGAGAAGGTAGAGGTGGGAAAGCTTTTGGCGTATCCACAAAAAGACGGAATATCAAGGGCAAAAAATGGGAGACGATATCATCATGGTTCATCCAAACATTTTTAAGTCCGACACTTGGGCGTAAGGTCTATAGCTCAGGAATAGAAGTTGCTCTTCTGGAAACTCTCGGGGGAGATGTCTCCCATCTTGCCCTTGAGCTCGGGTGGCTGATCACCAACCGGCTTTGAGAGTGATGACAGGCTCTGCGTGCGCTCATTGGCGGCGCCGCTCTTCATCGTACTAGTACGGGTGGCGGGCTCGCTGCCTGCCGTGATAGCATGTTGTGCCGGGCGCCGCTGGATAGTCTCCAAGTATGGGCCAGGCAGGTAACCAACACGGCCATCACGGGCGCGGCAGCGCCACCACTCCGAGGCATTACCCATGGGGTCGGACTTGCTGAGGACGGCAACAATGTCGCCCTTCTTCACTGCAAGGTCGATGCCGTTGCTCTCCTGAGTCTCGGGGGAGTAGTCATACAGCACACGGCAGAAGTCCAGCTTGGCCGGGTCCATGGCTGCGGACTGAGGCTCGCCGTTGGGGCCAATCAGCTGCTGGCGGCGCTTGGCTTCTTCCTCCTGCGACCGGGCCAAGGCCTTGATAAGCTTGCTCATCAGGTAGGGCAGGCCAAAGACGGCAACCAGGAACATGAAGAACGGCTTCTTGGATGGCTTGGCCGGGGCAGGCGAGCCATCGGGGAGAGTGGCGGGCGCGGAGCGACCACCCATGAAAGCTGCAAAGGCAGCAGGCGTCAAAGATGTGGCATCTGCGGGAGGAGGCCGACCGGTGATCTTAGCGATCAGGGTTCGGAACCACCGAATGATTGTGAAGATACCCAGGGCTGAGCCGAGGGTGTTGCGCAGATTACCAAATTGCTCTGCGACCGAGACCATTGCTGCGAAAACAGTTAGTACCACCACTCCAGCACATCTGGTAAATGTGACATCGTTTTCAAGACTTACCAAAGAATGAACTGTGCGTGGCCATATATGTGCTCTCAAGCATCTGGGCGAAGCCACCGAATGCCCCGACGATGCTCTCAATCATCTGGAAGGTGGCCTGTGTGCTTTGACTGAAGGAGTTGGTCAGGCTGTTGGGGTCATTGGGATCCTGCCCAGGCATGCCACCGTACATCCCTCCCATGCCACCCATGCCACCATACATGCCTCCCATGCCTCCCATGCCACCGTACATCGACCCCATTGAGCCAAAGCGGGAGTACGGAGACGAGTAGCCGCCATAGCCGCCGTATCCCCCGTAGGGTGTGGTGGCTCCAAAGCGCGATGCACCGTAAGGGGAGTAATTGGAGGCTGTCGAGTTGACGACTGAGTTGAGAGTGCTGGGACGGGAGGGCAGGTCGGGGACGGAGGAGGTGGTGGATGTTGCGGGGTTGGCCGTTGAAGGCGAAGTTGTAGTAGTCATGGCGGTTGAGGCAGCTGGGCTACCAGCGATGGGGGCAGTAGACAACGCGGACCCTGCGCATTCCCTCGATGTTAGTAAACAGAGGGGGTTTAAGATGGGATGGACGATGGTCAATGGCGGCGATGACTCTGGGGGTCACGGGGTCACCGCTCAACGAGAGACGCGAGGATAGAGAGAAGGACTCACCAGCAGCAGCACCTGCTCTCTCCCAGGGTTTGGGAGGCGACACCGACGCCATAATCGGGAATCAACCTTGCATCGAGTCCAGTCCAGACAAGGAAATTGAAGGGGGGGGGGGGGGGGGGGGTAGATGATGGAGTTGGACTTTGGGACTGGGGGTGGGAGAGTGGAGGTGGATCGATGATGGGGGGAGGCGGAGAAGAAGGGAAAAGTCGACTTCTCGCAAGTCGCAAGTCGCATGTGGCCGGCAGTGGAGAAGCCGAGGATGTCGGCGTTTGCCGACGCCGGGGAAGGAGTCCTTTCAGTGCTTTAGTCAGCCCAGTAGCCCTCGGCGATGGAAATTAATGGACTCGGTCACGTCGAGTCGTCCCGAGGCAAATTTGACGATTTTATCAGGACTACTCCGTATATGATATCTTAATCTGAATCCTTCTGCTTCATGTATTTATTCTCGAGACTTCCCCCGCTGGAAATCTCTGCGGTGGCAAACTCAAAAGTGCCTGGTCTCTGGGCCACGACTGGCCGACCGCGGCAAACATTCCGAAGGTCAGAGCCACGCCGGAAAAGGTTGCACAGAAAGAGACGAAAGATACGGGCAAGGAAATTAAAAGGCATATATCACTTAATATTTGAGGCAGATACGTAAATCAAATAGCATGTTCAAAGTCAACGGCCAGAGAATATGAATGGTTCAACTACTGCGAACAATTCGATTCCGAGAGCTGTCTGCGCGAGGAAGACCTCCCTTAGTCTATGGTATAACGACAAGCAAGTCCTAGAAGCCGAAAGGACAGAGTGCAAATTCAAAACGAGAGGTATCAAATGGATGAAGAAGGTAATGCGCCCGTCGTCAACGTCACTCCAAAATAAACAAATAAACAATCAAGCCGATATCAAACAAACCCATCTTCCCAAACGCCCGAGTATAATGATCACGTGATCGGAGGTGCTTATGTACAGAGAAACCAATGCTGATGCAAGTGATGTATAAACTGGAATCACAGTTCGCTGTGAGCCTTGGCTGGGGGTCGTCGAGTTCCCTCAGACCCGGGGGCTTGGAGCTTCCAAGGGCGAGGAGGCACGGGTAGACCCAGCCAGAAGGCCCAGAGACGCTGTCCTTCCCACACGGCGATTTCGATTCTGCAGAAAATAAGTTAGTAAGTGTGTTCACAATTCTGAAAAACCTCATCCAATGCTCGGATCACACGTACAATGTCCGAGGAATATCCAGCCAGCTCCGCAGGACGTATGCAGTCACGTCCCAGACCATATCAAACTCGGTCTTGATATCGTCAAAGGCAGAAGCATCCGGCTTCCGGGGAGGACGTTGCCACGGAAGGCGATCCGCTTTCTCTCGTCCGTAGATATAGTCACCCTCGTCATTCTCGTAATAGAACTGTCCAGTGCCATCGTGGAACAATTTCCGCGGTTCTGTATCCTGATTCTTGGCCTCGGCGTGATTATGAGTCGAGGGCGCCGAGTGTCGAAGCGGGAAGGCATTCTCATGGCCGGCCTCCAGAGCTTCGTGGAAGCTACGCGCCGCAGCGATACTGTGCGAGATGCGACCCAACGTGTTGATCAAGGCTACCAGCTCCGTGCGGCGCAGCGGCGGGTTCTCTCCGTTCTTGGTCTCATCGTACTCGAAGAGGACTTTGAGGGCAGTTCCATACCCGTTCACCTGCAGCTTGCCCCAGAGTCGGCACTTGTCGCATCCCACGCAGTCCATCAGGCGGCTGACGTTGCGGAAGCGGTTGCGGAAGTCTTCCTTCAGTCCTTGAGTGCTGGGGTCCTGGAACATCAGGTTCTCGTCAAAGATCTGCGGTGGCCGTGAGAGAACCTCGGTGAGCTGGTTGATTCGCTGCTTGGTCTCCATGTCTTGTTCGGGTTCGCTAGTGCAGAATGTGTAGCCTTGCAGATGCTTACGCAGCTTGGCAACGGCGCGCGAGACCAGGGCATAGTTGAAGTACATGTTGGAGATGCGCTCCGGGTGCTCGTGCAGCCTCTCCTTGTAGCACTGCATGTTGGGGTGCCACTCGCCGGTCGTCTGGTTGAGGTGGTCCCAGCAGAGATGTGTGGAAATGGAGGCATGCATTCCGCTGATAAGCCGGTGGAAGACACGCTTCTCCAAACACTCATTATCCAAGGGCAATCCATCCAGTCGCTGCGATTCCTTTTGCAGGACGTTGCGGAAATCGGACACGGCCTGCAGGCCGCCCAGGGGGACGTTGAGCGACTGTTCCTCTAGCTCCTCGGCCATAGGCTTCATGAAGCAGTTCTCACGGTAGATCGCATCCCACACTTGGTGCGCGCCTTCTCCTGCATATCCGGTGAATCGCTCCGGGTTGTCCACTAAGCTCACATAGTCGCCCTTGCCGGCGGAACCCTGATCCTCCGGGACACAGTAATCACGGTCGTCACATTCGTCGTCGTACTCCACCACGCAACTCTCTCCAACACCTTCACCCAGCATACCCTGGAGCGGGCGCTCTTTCGGGCGCTCTGCCTGGACCTTGCGAGGCGGGTGGTTCGCCTTGGGACCTTCCAACTTGCTCAATTCTTCCGACCGCCAGACGAGGGGGATGTCTTCTTCGGAATCAATCGTATTCACGGAGCACGCGATATTACCGCACATGCTATTTGAGTCTGACCAGAACGGACATTCTTTATTGAAGAGGTTCAAGCGGTAGTAGGAGAAGAAGTCGGTTTCGAGGGTGATTGACTGGAGGAGGGTGTAAATTTCATCGTTGAGTTTGTTGATCGTGCCGTAGGAAACACACGCGTCGGACACCATCGCTGATGGATCGATCTATATGAAGGAAAGAAAATGACCATGTCAGTATCCCAGAAGCAGTAACTTGGGGGCACGGACGTCACAAAGTGGCCTGCTAGCACTTACCGCGCATTTGTTCATCGTATCCAGGCCCGTTGAGCCATGACTGCTGGCCGTCGCCAAATTGGAAAAGGCAAAGACTGCGGCATAGAACAGTCCAGCGGCTGACCGCATATTGCCAACCATCAAGAGATTGTGGCTATGGCTCAGACTGAGAGTAAAAGGGAGCGTCGTTCAAGAAGGATGCGGCGACGGAAGAGACGCAAGGTGGCGACAAAAGAGCGCAGAATCGGCAACGGTCGCAATGCAAAAGAAACGCAGTTGAACAGTTCCGGAGTCGATCCAACTAAATCGCAACAGCCTGAAAATGTCCACAGGAAGGGTGTCGAGCGGTCGAGTGTAATAATTAAAGAAAGAATGGACCAAGACAACAAAGCCAAGTGGACAGACTGGCCTTGCCCTTGTCCTTTCAGCAGAAGATCGGCCGATCCGTCGTGCCAAGAAAATGCCGTGGTCTGATCGTTCGGAGGCTGCTGATTGGTCACTCGGTCTGGGGCAAAAACGGCTTTGTCAGATGGTCCGATCGTCAATTCTCCAACGATTTACAACCCAGGCAAAGTACAATTCCAGTATTCCTACTGGTAGATTGCGATTGAGTCGTATCCGGTCGTACGAGTCTAACAATATGTTCAGCCGGAATCCGTGAGGCTTACTCTGTCCCAACCCTGACAGTGTCACAGATCTCAATCGTCAGCGTTGGGTTCCATCAGTGACTAAATCTATTTATAAGCAGGACGGAGGCCTCGGATATCTATTCGGAATCACTCTATTGGCGAAGAACCAGGGGCCGAATCTTCGCTTGGATACAATTGCTTACGTGACTTGAATAATTTGGCCTTCAGAAAGTGTCTCGCAAAATTTTTCGGGTGTTCCTGACTGTATGATCTGTATCCCTTCTATCCATGATCATTGCCCATGCGTTGAGTATTCCAGCTTGCTGAATACTAGCCGGATTATTTTCGTCAGAATTGATGAAGATCATCGTAGCGCACAACCAATTTGAAGTGTTATCTGCTTGACAGGATACCGCGACGTCATTCGGGGAAACGAGTTACCTTCCCTGGTTAGAGATCAGAAGATTCAACCTCTGAGGTCGTAGGCTACCAGGGACGTGGAGGGAGATACATTCAAGAGATGAAATCGAGTAACAGGTTTGACTCGGACGCCAGACACGCTTTCAAGCAACCATCCATCCCCTGGCCAAATGGCAACAAAAGGAAAGACCGAAACACCGCCGGCAGTTAGATATCACCCCACCCCCTACATGATCGAGGGGTGATCTCCTACATGATCGAGGGGTGATCTCTCAACGGCGATGAATGATGGGCTACCAGACCCAAGGGTTACATTTTATTGAGACCCATTTTAGGTTAGTTTTGTCAGCCGCACGGTTGTGGCACGATCTGGCTTTTGGCTTCCACGCGGCACGTTCTTTGTTCGAGAAAAGAGAGAACCAAAATATAGTCAACGCTACCCAGTCATAGCCCAAAGTTGTCCCAAAGTTGTTAAGATCTACTCCTCCTCTAGGTTCTCGGAAGAATCCCTGTACTTCCCCGGTACTCCACAATGTTCAAACTAAGTCTCTGATTATCTTGCTCTTGCTTGAACATACTCGGGGAGCCTTACCAACCGTCATAGAGGGCCTCTAAGAACTAGTCCTCCATGTGACCATCCTCTTAGCTCAGTTAAACTTGTTAGATTAGCAACAACCTCGTCCTGTTCTACATCTTAGACCCCTCAGCCCTTCTAGAATATCTTTAACCCTCATCATAATCCCTCAGTTAGTCTGTTTCACTAAATTTTCCTTTTTCCCCATTATCTCTGACAAAATTTTGCCCCTAGTGAGCCTACTATATTCGTACCGTGTCGTGGTTGGCAAAGCCTTCCACACATACTTTACCGAGAACAGCTATTTGGCAAACCTCGGACTATAGACGCGGCGGACGACTATCAGTCAACCATGAATATAATCTTTCCCATATTGCTGTCTCCGATGCAGCGGAGGCCTTATGATGGTCAGTCTCGGGCCACAGTGGCCCGATGCCTCTCATAGCAATCAAACAGGGAATGAATTTTTCAACAGTCAGTCTTCTCGCGACAGGAGTCGTCGGTGTAATCGACTTTATCGCTACAATCCCAGCTATCCTATACATGGACCGCTGGGGCCGCCGCAAGGTTCTGATCATCGGAGGTATCGGTATGAGTATATCCCAGCTCATCATCGCCACTCTCTACGCGGTATACCAAAATTCCTGGTCAGAGCATCCCGCAGCAGGCTGGGCTGCATGCACCTTCGTGTGGGTATACATTGCCCACTTTGCATTCAGTATTGGCTGTGTTAATTGGATTATTCCGTCTGAGATATTTCCTCCGGCTGTGCGTGGGAAGGCTGTTGGGTTGGCGATTGCTTCGAATTGGTTGTCGAATTTTATTGTGGCATTGATCTGTCCACGGATGTTGGAGGCAATCACGTTTGGGACGTTTTACTTTTTCCTTGCGTTTTGTCTTGTTTTGATTGTTTGGGTGTATTTCTGTCTTCCGGAAACTAAAGGTACGATTTATTTAAATTTTGGTCTGGTGGAACATACTTATTTGGTTCATTAGGTGTCTCGATGGAACAGATGGATAACATCTTCGGGGGAACTTCAGCTCGGGAAAATCTCCAGCTGATGGCTGATATTCGTAATGAGCTTGGGTTGAGTGGAGATGAAAAAGTCCTCGGCGGTATGAAATTTGAGGGTTCAGATGCTGGTCATGTTGAAATAGTATCTCGCGAGTGAGCGTTCCAATATGGTTCGGCTCGAAGATCTATGTAGATCACATCCGTTTAGCATGTATTCAATTTCAAAACAACCTCTCTCCTCCCTCAAGATCCCTCCCCATCTCCATCTCCTGTACCCTCCCCTCCCTCTCCCCGACCAAATCCTGTCCCGCCTGCCACAAAACATCATACCCCAACCCTTCACTCAACCCCAAACACTTAATCACAAACCCAAAAAGCTTCCTCTCCACCTGCGGCGCATGCCTCGTCAATCCATGATCATCACCAGGAAAAAGCTTCATCTCCCGATCCCCCGCACCCCCATACTGATTAAACAGCGTCTTCGAACAAGACGGTGCAAGGACATGGTCCTCTTCACCGTGCAGCAGCAGCAACGGCCGCGGACTAAGCGCAAACACGCCTTCCGTTCTGGCAGTCTGCGAGGCGACTGTCGCGACCCCCGCGACGCGGGTGGGTTCGCGCGCTGCGACGGTGAAACAGGGACTTCCGCCGAAGGACCAGCCCACGATGACGAAGCGCGTTGAGCCGAAGGTATCGCGGAGATAGTCGAAGGAGGCTTGCATGTCTGCGACGCAGTAGGGTGTGCGTGCGGGTTCGCGGTAGTCGAGTCTTATGCAGGGGATGGAGAGGAGGAGGGCGATTTTGTCTGCGAGAGATGGGTAGATTCCTGCTGGACCGGAGACGCCGCCTCCTGCACCGGAGACGAGGACGACGGCGCTGGGGGGTCGGTTGGTTTCGGGGGTGCTGCGAGGTTCGTGGAGGATGGCGGAGGCTTCGTGGTTGAGGGGGTCGGTGACTTTGATGGTGATGCGGCGGGCGATGGAGGGTTTGATGGCTTGACGGTCGACTTTTGGGGGGTGGAAGGGGCCGAGGGTTTCGAGGGGGTGGTTGGGTTGGTAGTCTGTCATTTTGGAATGAGGGTTATCTAAAATGCGTAGAATGAGAGAGGTTGCTGGTGAAGACAGTTTTTTTTTTTTGATTATCGCTACTACGTGTGAGGCTATAATGCGTAAAGGCGATGGGCTGCTTGCTGGGTAGAATGCTGATATCAAGTTGACGCTGGAAGGCAAATTCGACAAAGAGGCAAATTCAAGAGCCTCAAGAGGAATGATGGCATCATGAGATTTTGAAAATTGAAATTTCTTTCATTCGAAGAAACGATTCGATTGCAGTGGTCTGTAAGTACACAAGATTCCCTATCCGTAACGCCGAGTTCCCTATTAAACACCTAAGCAAGAGCGCGGTCGAAGCCGTCGCAAACAACCATTCAACAGATAAGAACCAGAAAGATCAACCCAGACCAGATTCCCAGTACCCCAAACACCTCATTATCAGGGTCTCGTCCGTGAAAATTCGTAATAGAGAAAGCGCATAGGTCGTCATTGAATCATGATATAAGAAAAAGAAAATCAAAGTCAGGTCATAAAACAATGTTGCGAGCACGACTATGCGGTACTCCGCCGCTTCTTGTTGCGGCGTAGACTGAGTTTCTTCTTCAGTTGAAGGAATGGGTTGGAGATGGGGCGGTTGTAGAATGGGTCATTCTTGAAGTCCTCGTCGGTGAATTTCTAGAGGGAGTCAGCAGGTTTATTCCTGAGTTTAACTGTAGCGATCCTACGTACCTGACCGGGCAGACGCATGAAAAGCCCATACTCATCCATCATGTTCGATCCCTCTTCGTACTCGTATGTCTGTCCATCCCGATCAGTTGCGCCGGGAGGGAATAGGCCGTGCCATCGAGCGGGCGATGGCTATGCAAGCAGTCGATAATCTTGTCGCGCGGTGTAGCGCGCAAAGCTTCTTCATTCGACTCTCTCACTGCCTCGAGAGGACTGTGGTGGCTAACGCGATTGCGCTCAGGGCAAACTGCATCGTATGGGCCCTCGTGGTGATACGAGTAGGAGGTCACATCGTCCAGCTCATCGATAATATCTGGGTTCACCAGCTGTGAGTTTCGCGAGTATCTCTGATGGGAGTGACGGCGCTGGGTTCCCGAACTCTCTCGCTGGAACCTCGGGTGCACCGGCTGGTGCTCGGGAGAGCCGGACCACCAGAGAGAATCCATGGAAACGGTGGGTACAGAGGGGAAGGATTCCGAGAGAGATCGCTTGGAGCGCGAGTGCGAGTGCGAATGTGAATGCGCCGACGGTGCGGGGGACATGTAGCGGGCATAAGGGTTGTTGCTGCCCAGAGTGGAATAGCTCGATCGGCGATCACGGCCATGCTGGTGATTGTGTGGATGATGTGGATGATGGCGCGAGGCCATCGACATACAGTCGACCGCAGCCATTGTTGCAGGTGTGTGTAAATCTTTGGCTGAGACGGGTACTGCAGAGGAGAAGATAGGGAGAAGAAAGAGGGGGAAAGCCCCAAGGATTGTGGTTATAGTTTTAGTCCCTTGCGAGGATCACGCGGTATTCGAGGAAAGTATACTTCGGGGAGTGACCCGATGGCAAACGAGCGGGGCTGACGTATAGAGAGTATGCAGGGTAGATTGTACCGAGCTGAGGTGTACCGATGCGGTGTAGAGGAAGTCCAGAAGGGATCTCGTGTGAGCTAGTTAGGAAGATATGAGAGGAAAGATAGGAAGGTGAAAGGAGAGCTTTCGAAGAGAGGCGATGTCAAGTACAAACCTTCAGAGTCTTAAAAGGACTAGACCCTTTCCGCGAAGGGCCAGGACGGAACAGACGGAGGGTGACGTGACTGACTTGCGTATGCTGAACGGGCAGTGGGCCGGTGGGACTCGGCTTATCGATAAGAAGGGGACCCACGCTCGAACGGTCCATCGTCCACGCTAAACCCTTTTAGGAACTCCCTTTCAGTCTTCATGTGCTTTTTGGGTTTAGCTCGGGTCCCCTGTGGATTCGCTCATCCCCTTGCACGACGATGACGATCACACTAGTGATATCATCCGGAGGCAAAATGGGGTCCTCCAGAGTCCACTATGATATACATGTCGAAGGACCCGATCAACCCCAGTCATGCCTCGCGACATCGACAGTCGGCGGGGGTCCCAACTGCCCAGCCAGACCGAAGCCACGCTGGACTCACGGACAGCGTCATGTGAACACTAATCGAGAGTAGGTAAGTTACCTGGTACCGATTCAATTATGATTACTCAGAGCGCACAGCGACGAAGTTGCATCCACCAGTTCCGAGTCTTCCTTTTCAGCAACTCTCCGATGACGTTGTGGTCTGTACTTCCGCGAACTTCCAGTCGTTCCTTGCGATGATTCATAGGCACAACTTGCGTCCCTTGTGAGCAAAAAGAAGCTTCAAGGAAAAGTTTGTTCCTTGTCCCTGCTCTGGTTCAGCCGCGATGACCCGTGCACTACCGATTAAGCTTATCGACTAGCGAGAATAGCGTGGATGACCTTGCTCATTGGCAGTCAAGGGACCCCCGCCGTGACTGCCGTGCCCATGTCTGGCATTCCTGAGCAGGGACTTGCGGTCTAGATCACCATTGATGAGACCGCATGATTCCTTGTGTCGCCCTTGCGTCGAGAGAGATCTGTCATTGAGTGTAGCGGACAGGAAGGTGCCTCGACTGACGAACCATCTGCAATTAACCGGACCAAAGTCATCCCATGAGCATTACAACCTGCCTCCTCCAAGTGCTGGCTGTTCATGACCACACCACTGTGGCCCCTCTTAGCTTGTATAGTCCAAGACTGGACCGAGCCTGGAGAATAAAGCTTGATTCTCATAGCATGGCTATCTTGCAAGGAACCAGTCCTCTCGTCAAATTACTTCACGCCCTGCTGTCCTCCCGTGCAATGCCCTTGGGTCAGCGCAGTTTTAGGGTTACATTCGAAGCCTCCATGGTGCTAATAAGATCAGCTAGGTATTCCAAGCCTCTGCGGACCGGGAATCTGCACAATCCCCCCCCCCGGGAACATAATCGCTGATGAAATTCAACCGTAAGTAAAGCTCCCAGTAAAATCCAGGATCTACCAGTTCACGGTGGTATTTCTTGGTAAATTGGTGATCTTCCTGATGGGGGAATACCCCGAAGTGGCTGGACCTGCACGTTTACATAGTTCATCCAACACACAAAAACAAATCAAGGCAATAACCCGAAACCCAGAATAATAGTAAGGACACACAATAATTCTAGCGAATAGAAAATACATTCGATAGTTCAAATCAATATTTCCCTAGTGCATCCCTCACTCCACGGTCTGGTCTGATCGCCCGCAAGATCGCCCAGCCACGTAGATCCTCAGGCCAGATCCTCAGGCCTCCGCACCCGAAAAGTCATTTCCCCCACACCAAAAAAAAAAAAAAACACAAAAATAAACCATAGGCATGGACCAACCCCAGCACACTCACCACCAAGAGGCACTATCCCCAATTCATGTCCCTGGTGCAATATTCCGACTCCGAGTCAGATGCCGACCAACCCGCATCACCTCCCGCCAAGAAACCCCGCCATGAAGCTCCCTCAAGAACTCCCGCACTGCCCCCATTACCAGCAGCCTTCCACGACCTCTACGCCTCGAGCACGCGCGTCAGTGTAAAAGATGACCCAAGCCTTCATGGCGGCCGCAAACGCGTCATACCCCATGTGGAAGGCAACTGGCCGACACATGTCTATGTGGAATGTGTGTGCTCCCCCGACCCTCGCGTTGTTTCATAGCTAATGGATGAGGCGACAGGGTACCCGGCCAAGGATGAGCTCGCGCTCCTTGCAGACTTGATAGATCGTGCACAGCGACTCCCAACCCTGTCCGATGACAGCGATACTGCTACCGCCAGTACCCCGCGCCTGCACAGTCTTTTGCACAGTGACCTGGGTGCCCAGCTCCCGCTGCACATCAGCTTATCAGCCCCCGTGGTACTACGTACCGAGCAGCGTGCCTCGTTCACCGACGCCCTGACCAGGAGTATACGGGAGTCTCACATTCCACCGTAAGACATACTGCCCCGTGGAACTGTTTCAGACACTCTAGTCCTTTTTACGAAGAACCCCGCTGATATCTCAACCAGTTTCACCGTCACCCCGGACACTCTCAAATGGGTATCCAACCACGAGCGCACACGCTGGTTCCTAGTCCTTCACGTTACGCGCCCAGATTCTAATGGTCTGAATCGCTTACTTGCGTTATCGAATCGCGCCCTGGCGGCCTTTGATCAACCATCGTTGTATGCGTCCTCGCGTGATACCTGCCGGAACCGTGCGCTGGTTGAACAGGACCGAGGACAGGTCTTGAGTGGGTCTGTTGGGGACTGCTCGGATTGCTTTCATGTTTCGTTGGCGTGGAGCTTGGTCGAGCCTAGTAAAGAGGAGGAGGAGCGTGTGGAGGGGTTGGAGTTGGGAGGTGTGCGGAGGATGAAGGTTAGATTTGAGAGTGTAAAGGTTAAGATTGGGAATCATGTTGAGAGTGTCGTGCTTCCGGTTGAGATTTGATGATTCCCTACTGGAAGCATTGCATGGGATAGTTACGAATGATGATTGTGTATAATTCACAAATGATATTCGGGTATACAGTACCAATGTCCCTGATGGGGACCTCGGCGTTTCATCGAGCATGACATATCGAATCTAGAAAGGTCATGAGCTCACTCGCACTTATGACTCTTTTATTATTACTCTGAGAAATTGTACCAATATATTCAGAGCACTTGAATAGGCAGAATCTGGTGTCCATGCAGACCGTTAGGTCCCAAATAGGAAATAGTCAAATCCCGATCTTACGTAACAACGTCAACGCGCCCCCCACGCGTCTTCCTCAAACTCACAATCGCATCACTCCCCAAACGCGATGCAGGTCCCAGCTGTCACTCTAGTAAGCAATCACCAACACCCTATCTGCTACCCGGTCAAGCTAATCAAGACCTGTCACTCAGGAAAACCTCCAAGCCTTCCAAGCAGCCCATTTCCCCGGCCACCACCAAGCTCTGCACCCGCCAGCGGCAGAACCTGTCGTCGAAGACGACACCTACGCCGACGAAGATGACCTCGGCTACTATACGGACGGTGTAAAGCGCACACTGACAGATGAGCAGATTCGCATCTTCAGACACAGTGAGATTCATGCTCTCCTGCGGAAAAGGCAGTTAGAGCAGGATGAGGCGGAGTATGAAGCCCGGGCGAGGAAGTCATCTATTGATGAAGCAGGGAGTGATGAGGTAGAGACCCGTCGCGAGGAGCATGTTTCTGATGGGAAACACGTGGGTAATGAGAGTCATGGTCAGGGTCAGGGTCAAGGCCGTCGTCAGTCATCGGGCGCAATGAAGGCGAAGAAACGAGGCCGTTGTGAATCGGGAAATGAGCCGTCGCAGACTCTTGATTATGAAGATGCTGAGCAAAATCCGGCTCCCAGGCCACGCCCGACTGACCCACGTGCACCGTATCCAGGTCGGAGGATTATCTCCTATGAGGATTGAATTCAGGCTTCGTGGAGATGCTTCAATGCGAGATCAGTTTGGACAAGGAGCCCGGTGATAGGGCACTCCTGTTCTGAACTGAAATATCAGACATCCTTTATTGAGATGTTGGAACCCGCAAGTATTTCACGGAGAAATGTGTGGTAAGTCGAAACACTTCTTTCATTTTTGCGAATCCCCGCCTACCATGATGAAAAAATTCAAGTCATCCTTAGTCGGAAGACCATACCATCTAGCAAATGTGTAAGGCTTTGACGACCTTAATCTTCTCTCTGAAAGGCTACTTCATGTCAAATTTGTCAGGCTGTGATGTTGTATTGATTGTAATACTGATGTCGGTTTAGGTTCGTCGCCCGAGATACGGTCTGCAAAGGCGGAATCTTGGAGCATCTCCCAGCCGGGGCTTTTTTCGAGACCACATGCTCATGGCCTGACTTTGGTCGTGTGAGATCGACCTGGGGTTGCCGACAAACATCTCTGAGTCGCTCACTGGAACCTGGACTGCGATCCATCTATTCGAGTGCATTTGTCTACACGCTTCGAGAGCTATGATTGGATCAACTATCGCGCATGATCAGAAAGATCCTTTCAGTCTCTCTTAATAAGTTGTACACGTGATACATCGGTCTCTCTGGAACTTCAAACATCTATCGTTCTTCCGGAATTGATCCAAGCACCTGCATCATCATGGAAGTTGGTGTTGAATTGAATCACAAGCGTCAGACTAAAGACTCGGTATATTCTATAGATGCCAATGCAGTTTCAGGAAACCCCTCTAAGCCACAACGCCGTAGTATATGCTAATCATTTCGTAAATAAACAGTCAACAGTGATATGCGCGGTCGGTCGCGATTAAGCATTATTCGCACACGAGAAGCTCGCACTGCTGGGGCTGTCGTGGAGAGTCTTTCCGGACACCCAGAGACCCATACCACACTGTGAAAAGGGTTAGCGACGATCTCTCGTAAAAGTGAAGTAAGAGTAACATACCATAGTCAATCCAATTCCAATGAAGATCAGGTTGATAATGGTAAAGAAAATCATCCGCTTCGAGGATGTCAAACGTCTCTTGTTGATATGCAGCCAGAAAACACCACCGATGCAGAAACTGAACCAGGAAGCGAACAGAGCAGTCTAGAAGCTTAATGTTAGCAAGGAACACCGTTTTCTTTCTACAATCAGAACATACAATCAAACCCAGCAAATTGCCGAAGACGGGAATCGCGGCAGATATGATCCACGCAATGATCCAAAGAGTAGCAGCAATGCCGAGCCACGAGCCGACAGCGACCCAGTCGCGCTTGTGCATGCGGTCTGTTCCAGCCAGCAGCTGGACATAGAGGTATTTAACTGCGACGTGGCCGGTGATGACGCCGGCGATGATAATCTAGCATATTTTATTAGAATAGTAACAATAGACAGAGTTAAAATGATATCATACCGTAGGAAGGGCAATGCCATAGCAAATCTTGGCCACCATGGGAGAAGCCGACCCCAGGGCAGGAGAGGTGACACCGTCACCAGCATAGCGGTAAATGACCAGGGAGGCAATAAGGTACAGACTGATGTCAATTCCCTGGAGCAGGCAGAGAGACTTGGTAAAGTCGCGAGGATTCTTCAGCTCAGCCATCAAGCCAAAGTAGGCGGCGTGGCCAGCGAAAGCGAAGATAATGTTGCAGACGGCCAAGAAGCCCTGGTAGAGATCGGTTTTGCCGACTGCTACGACGCTGCTGCTGGGGTTTTCGATCCCGACGGCGATCATGCAGACGAAGACTGCGGCGGTGATGCTCACGAAAGCTGGAAAGTATTAGTATAAGAAGATGACAATGGTGGGTAAGTATAAACTCACAAACAAGAGACAGCCAGGACACCCTCTCCAGAGTGCGAGGTACACAGCACAGGAAGGAGAGGATTGTGCCGACAATGCCAAACACAAGCGAACAAGTGCCGTGGCTGGTGATTGTGTTCATGGCGACAGTGAACGTCAAAATATGACTCGCCATGATGAATATGGCGAAAAGAATCTGGGAGACACCCATGAAATGGCGTCCAAATGAGCCTGCGAGAACTTCTCCTGCGTCGGCCATGGTTATGATGTAGGGGTATTTCAATTTCATTTGCCCGATCATGTAACCGGTCCAAGTGGCGAGCAGACCGAGAACGATAATGAGAATAATGGAACTGTAAGAAGTGTTAGTATGCGATATAGACTTTTTTGTGCTTGGAAGACATACGGGACAAGACCTAGTGTTGCGACGGCGGCAGGGAGCGACAGGATACCGAGAGAGATGGTCTGAGCAACCATGACTAGAAATTGTTAGATTGGACGTCAATTTGATATTCGAGGTTTATACCACATACGCAAACCGCATTGCCTAGTAACAGCATCAATTAGTCAATATTCCAAGCTTGAACGGATCAAATCTGTACATACCACCACTTCATGATCTTATACTTGACCTCGGCGAATTCCTCGTTACCAAACGCATCTTGCTTGTATTCGAGTGCGTTGTTCATCATGTCCTCGGGCGCGTACTCGACAGGAAGAACGTCCATGCTCTTTCGAGAAGCATCTTCCATGTCCACAGCCTCAGCTGGGCCATCCACCTGTGAGCTCATCCTGACAGCCGATTTTATTAAAGCCGTATATCAAATCGTCAAATTCTCCGCAAAAAAGGCTCCGTCGTTGTCAAGCTGTACAAAATGTTCAAAGGATCAAACCTTCCAAGTTGCGAGAGATATAAATGTCAAGAAAATAGAAAATATGAAATTTCAACTGACGATCGCTCAACTCAATTCTTAGAGTTTCAGTCTCGGCTACTCCGTACACGTTCAGAAAAAGGGGCCATTCCAAAGTGGACCCGCAAGCCACTGATGGAATCTCCACGAATCACGGCCCCGGAACGTAATAGAAACCACGCAAAAAGGCAGCACGACGGACGGGGTCCGATAAGGTGTGAAGACCTGGGGAAGCCAATGAAAAAAAGTTCGTCGCCGATGCAGGCACGGCTCCGTACTTGCAAAAGTAGCTTATTTCATGCAGCGTTTGTTATGGTTGTGAGAATGCTGGAAGATGAAAGAGCTATTTGATACAGTAGAACCTGTTTAGAACGATCGTCCTTAAGACGAATTCCCGGGTTTACGAAACGAATCCTTTTGTCAAAATTGAAAATCGTATATATAAAGCGAATTTCCTAGCTACTGCGAATTCGTTAGGATTCGCTAGATATAAATTCGTGATGCTATATAAGCAGATTAAACCCCTCTCGGTAATACATATTAATTGTGGAGCTTAGCGAAGCTTATTACTCCTGGGTAAATTGGGCGTTTTGGGGGGGAGACGCCCCTCATTGGGGGTCTCAAAGGGTCTCCCTTTGATTTAGTAGTAAAAACCCTCCATATTTTCAATAATGTAGCGCTACGCTCCGCGCTTTTGGGTGCCCCCTATAGGGTGCCTTTGGATGCCTTGTAACGAGGAAGAAGAAGAAGATAGTAAATTAGACATTTAGCCGATTATTAAGCTAACAGAGGCATTAGAAGCCCTACGTAGGCTAATTTCCTACTACAAACAGCAGAGGCAGCCTAATAAGGAGCATTAATCGCTAGATACTGCTTATATTAAGCGATTACGGTGAGATAAGATCGATTTACAGAGGGTTCAGGTTAAAACCAGGGTACAGAGCGATATTCGTGGCTTTTTTAGGGGAAATAGGGGGTTATCGTCTTTCCCGAACACCTAGGCTAACGAATCAAAACCCCTTGGCAAGCATAGTTCGTTATCCAGCTTTTCCTGTATGCGGTTAGGCTCTGCCGATCTCTGCAAGGGCCAACGTGGGCTAATTTCCTCCTACAAACAGCACTAGCAGCCTAATAAGGAGCATAAATCGCTAGATACTGCTTATATTAAGCGATTACGGTGAGATAAGATCGATTTACAGAGGGGTCAGGGTAAAACCAGGGTACAGAGCGATATTCGTCGCTTTTTTCTGGGGAAATAGGGGATTACTGTATATACCGAACACCTACGTTAACGAATCAAAAACCCTCAGCAAGCATAATTCGCAGCTTTTACTGTATGCGGTTAGGCCGATCTCTGTAGGGACTGGCGGCTCAAAATTTTTTGGTTCAGCCACCAACCAGGCTAGAGTCTGAATGGGCTTTGGATCGACCCCTAGAGCTGACGTACTTGTAGGTGGCTTGACCGTAGGTCTGCCGCTGCGAAATCGGCCTTACAAAATCTTGCGGTCTGTCTCCGAGGTCCCTCGGTGGCCCTTTTTGGCGCGTTACCGACTTGCACCATGACTCAATGGACGGGCAGATTTTGGGCCTGGGACAGAAGTCTCGTACATGTCTGCGGGGTCTCGGCTCATAAGGCTGGTTCCACGGCATCTGGTCCGGCTGTCTGCTTAAACGGATCCATAGAAAGGTCCCACGTGGTAAGCCGTTTGAACTCAAATTCCTGACGAGAATCTTGTTTTTTACAATCTCAGAGTGGGGCTTGTATCCTCTGTAATACTTTTCGTAACATAATATCCAAATTTACATCAAATGCAATGTAACAGCAAAGCCAGGCTAACCTAGCAGAATGATGACCAAACTGATCAAAATTAACGTTCTCTGGTGTTGAAAGCCGTATACGTTGAACACATCATGTAGAGGAGGCAAGGTCCAACACTGCTGATGGGGACGGATGTAGCATCCTCGAAGAAGTTATGAAGACCCCATAGTGAAACAGCCTTCTAGGCGCAGACAAGCTCCTTTGGTTTTCATTTGAAACCTAGTACTTTCTATGGATAGACATTGATGTTAAACAGCCTCGACGAATTATAGTGCGGGCAGGGGTAGTCTTGGGTCCAATTCCACATCAAAAATATCATCAATCTAGGTAAACTCGTCCCTGTATCTACAGTCTTTGGATTTTGAATAAGGTATCTACTTGCTCCCCGGCACAACAATCCTTTTTCTATACTGTATATGCAGTCAAATGTATTTTGTGAGTATCTGCAAATCAACCGAGAATAACGAATCTAGAACCCCCGAAATTCCACGAGGCAATGGAACCAATCTCTCAAATCTCAGCCCCAAACAGATACCCCACCAACAACCCAGCTCCCAAAACCACGCTTCCCAACGGCTTCATGCCAAACCTCTCCGACAAACTCACAGGAACAAGCGTCGTAAGTTGCGGGGGAACCTCATAAAGAGGATAAAGATACCACGTCGAAGCAACACCCAACCAAGTCAACGTCCAAACATACCCCACGCCCCTCTGCCACAGCGGCGGGACGGCGTCGTCAGTCCTAGAAACTGTCTTTTCCTTTTTCTTTTCTTTTCCTTTCTCAGTTGGTGGATTGAGCCTTTTCCAGAGCTCTTGAACCCCGTCTTCGAACATAATTGCGAATATGGTGATGGGGAAGCTGATAATTGCGCCGGAGTATTCCCATGGAATGGTCTGGACGCGGTCGTTCAGGACATGTTCCACCCCTGAAAGGAAGAATACGATGAATATGTTTGTGTAGCGCTCTACGAGAGATGGGCGGGGGAGATGGAGGATATCCCTAGCGATGAAATCGCTAACACCCGTGAATGGGCCGCGGAGGAATTGATGCCAGAATTTTCTACGAAAACATGTTAGCGGTGACACACGCACGGAATCAAAGATATACAAGACGGGATCCAAGTATATGCTATATACAAGGCAGTAGCCGTGTACTCCATCCCAGGTAGAACCTCTATAGACTCACCCCCAAAACTTCCGAACCGTATAAACATCCTTCATCTTCCCAAACGCCGGCGGCCAATTCTCCGGCGTATCAAATCCCAATCCGACAAAAAGAATAGACAGGAACCGATAATGCGCATCGATTAATATCCGCGTCAGCACGAACCAAGTTATTAAATTCGTGAGACCGCGCTCGACCCATTTCTCCGGTGATATATACCAGTTTATACGCGTGAACCCGGACTCGCTGCCAGCAGCGGGTTCGAAGGCTTGTTGTCGGGCTGCGGCTTGCACGACGTCCGCTGCTAGATACTGCCATGTGAAAATGGTGATTTGTCTTGTGAGGAATTTGGCCCGAGAAATGAGGATGGGAGTGGGAGTGGGCGCTTTCTTGGTTCCGGCGTTGGTTGTTGAGTAATATGCCGGGTGGGCGGGGATATTTTTGATTTCTCTCGGCGTTGCGATACCACGCGGCTGGATGAGGATTTGGATAGCGTGCCAGAGACGATTGGAGCGGAAGAGAGAGCGATGTGGTGGTAGTTCACGGGATATGGCGCGGTCGTCTAGGCGCTTTATCAAGAGGAGGTGGATTGCTCGGACGGTGAAGAAGTTTAGTTGTGCGGTGATGGTGAGACGGGTTCCGCTTGCGGCGGGGTAGGGATGCATGAAGCGGGATGCGAGGAATCCCATGACTGTTATTGTGATGTAGCGGAGGGGGAGTGTTGGGGGGTTAGGATGAGACATGTTGCTGGGAGGAGGATTATGAGGGTTGTCGTGAGGAGGAAGTCTGGTAGATCGAGGGGCCAGTGGAAGGACATGGTGGGAGATTGTGCAGTAGATAGGTATGTATGTAATAGGAATGGGGGAGGATGTTTATAACCTTTGGGGGCTTCAAGGTTTATTATTTAGATATCGACTGTGAGGCCTGATGCTGATGCTGATGCTGATGCTAGCACTAGTTTGGTCCTTCCTTGAGGGGCTTATGGTGAGAAGATAAGCCCATTATAGATGGAGATGTCGATGGTCGCGGGATAACACGAGAGTAAAGAACAATACTCCAGGTTAGAACGTAAAATTAAGAGGAGAACAAATGGTTCTTATTGTACGAAGTATAGTCATTTGACTGGCAACAGACTCCGGGCTCGAATTGAACGACACTTGAATCCCAGTCTTACATTTTCCAGCGTAAGCATGCCAACACATCCAGTACCCTGAATTATTGAATATCTCACAAGCCACAAAAAAGCATAAACCTACCACAAACTTTCCATACGAAAACGAAGCCGCTTACGATCTTGTGATAAACAAATAAGCAAACCTACATCCTCGACTATAATAGGTGGAAGTTAAGAAGTGTTGGTGTTGATATTCGACAAGCCTCTACAAGCTTCAATAAGCCTTCTGCAGAAAGTTGACATGAAAGTAACTAAACAAAATGCCCCACCCACGCACGAACCGAAGCCTCTTCGTAAACGCCATCGCAGTCAAAGCAAAGTCAAAGGTCAGGGACCAAACGATTCCCATTCCCCATCCCAAGAGAAAGAGAAACACACCATAAATGCCATGCCCGGACGCCGAGATGCTATCGTACAAAATCATACAGATGCGGATGCATACATGCCCAAGCATGGATGGATCTGCGGGAAAGATAAAAGGCGGATATGAGATATGAGGGAGAAGTGAATAGAGAAGAGAGAAGGAGAGGGATATACAAATACCACTTCCAAGGCGCGTTGTTGTGGTCTTTTCAACCCCCTGTTCGGGCCAAGTTCACCCCCGACTGCGTCGCTTCAAAAGCCGCCGCTGTCGTTGCGAGGCATATATTGCCTCGTCCGTCAGGATTTCCTCCGGTGGATCAAAATCGCGTTCCGGTACATCGGGCATGGGGTGGCCAAAGGCGAGAATGGTATGTGTACGGCCGCGCCGGGTGCCGTTTACAGCGGCCAGGGCTGTCTCACGGTGGTGCGGTTGTTCAAAGAACGAGGTAAAGGGTTTATCTGGGGGTGGGGGGTAGATGAACTGTGCTGGAATGGCGGGTGGTGGTGATGTATCTATGGAAGAGGGTGGATGGTGTTGTGTCTTTTGTCGTTTGGTGTTGGGTTTGGTTTCCGTTGCTGTGGAGTGATCGTCTCCTTCTGCGCGCCCGGCTTTGGGCTTACGGTTCTCCGAGACGGATTTGCGTCGTTTGGCGACGGAGGCAGAGCGTGTTTCTTGGTGGAGTTGGCGCGCGGCCCAGGCGTCCACGTCATTGGGATCCGGGGTACTGGGGGTATCTGGTAATGGGGAGCTTTCTTCTGCGGCATCCTCGACGGGTCGTGACCGCTTGCGCGAGTGTCGAGGAACATGCGCATCGGCCTCGGGATCGCCCGTTTGAAGATGCTTTTCCTTGGCCAGTTTGCGTTTCCGCTCTTCGTCCCTCCATACTTGGAACTTGGTGACGAGGACGACGAGCTCGTCGATGAGGATTTGCCGTTTAGGTTCGTAGAGCTTCTTCTCGTTCTCGTGGACGCCAGTCAATCCCATTACGCGCAGCCAATCTTGACTGCGAAGCTCTTCGAGAAGCCGATCTACATGCTGTTTCTCATGCTGTGCGCGATCTCGCTCAATATTTCGCAGCTGTTTCTCCTGGCGTTCGAACTTGCGGTGTGCGCGGAAATACAGGTCCTCGTTCAGAGGGTCAATGCCCGCTGAACTTGATGCCGGCTCAAGTAGTGTAACCACTTCACAATTGTACAGTTTTTGCAGCGGGTTGCCGAAAGGGGATGGCTCGGATTGGGAGGGGATTGGTAGTGGTTCGGGGAGGTCGTCAATTAACGTAACAATGGTGTTGAAAGCCAGCAGCTCTGAAAGACGTCTGCGTTAGTTCACATAATTCTCATCTCACCCAGAGGGGACCAAACGAACCAGGCTTAGGATCATCGAGGCTAATGATTTGCTCGTAATTGTGAAAATACTGCGCTAGCTCACTCTTACATCGAGAACCAGTGTCTGCAGAGCGCAGCGATCGCCTCTCGTTTCCAGTCGGTGCTGAGGCATCTGCCGGTTGCGTGTCGGACGGAAGCACCGGCGTCGCGTCCATCACTTCCGACTTGACGGTCGATTTATTTGTATTCGTCCCCTCGGGCTCGGCATCATGATCACCGCGCCGAGTCGTGCGCGTCGTCGGAGGCGATTTGGGCAACTTGGTCTCGGAGTCTACCGAGTACGCATGGACTCCCGGACGCGTTTTCACCGTATTCGCAGTCACCATGGGAGAAATTGTATCCAATGGGTCGGGCGACTCTGGCTCGCCGCATAGCAGGTCCGTCGCGGGACGACCGCCCGTAGGGGTATCACGGTCGGCAACACGCCGAAGGGTCGTGATGACATTGCCATTCAGATTCACGCGGGGGGTTGCCGGGGTACTCAATTGATCGCCCGAGGCGACGGTGTCCACCGATGAAGCGGATGGCCGGCGAGTGCGACGGGTTGCTGGACGTGGACGCGCTGGCTTGGCAGGAGGCAGGGTGTGTCGAGATTTGCTAGGGGCAGGGTCGTGGGTCGGGGTCGTGGCGTCGAGGCAGTCCGGTGAGCTTCTGCGACGGTTGACGGGCCAGAGATCGTGGAGAGTCCGCTGTCTCTTCATCGGAGGTCCCTGGCGGTCCGGGTCCAGATGGTCGTTGGCGTTCCGTCGCATGGAGCCGCGGAGGGACGACCGCGACAGGACGGCCATTGCTGGACGATAGGAGGGGGCGGAGATGGGATTAGGAGTGAGTCATGCTGCGATGGATCTCACGGGGAGATGGTGGAGATAGAGAGTGTGCTTGGATGGGAGAGTTGATGCCCCTGGAGGAGGAGGTTTGGGTTCCAGGGCGATCGGGATAGGCTCGTTCGGGGTTGTCGAGGTGGTGAGGGCGATGCGAGGAGGAGAGGTTCTTGGCAGGCCAACTGGACGATGCTGTTCCCGTTTTGGTCGGACAACAATAAAAAGGCGTTGTAATTGATCAGGGAGGGTTATTCCATCGAGTTAGAGGATTTTATTCGGTTCTATGGATGAGGTATGTATTTCTGCAAAAGTATCTGTCTCTACGAGGGGATCAGTAGGTAACGACAGGAGGGGTCGACTTGAGATATTCGCTTGATGTGGATCGGTCTAAATATATACAATGGCAGGACGTTTAGCAATCGGAGAAAATGGGCTAGTCAGATGGATAATTCTCTTCTGAACGGTTTCTTCTCGACACCTTTCAAATTGCTTTTCTCCATGGCTCAGACAATATCTGTCCGTTTATCTGCCAAAGATTGGCCGATGAGATGATTTTCCTAGTCCCGCTATACGACGGAAGACTCGAAACATCCCATCTTGTCTAGAACTAGAGACACCGTCTACTATACTTAAGACCAGCAAACAACCCTCTTCTTGTACCCTGCCATCCACTCCCAGAAAAAGGGCCCCTTCATCCATGCGACAGGAGTATTCCTTTCCCGATGACCAACCCCCACGTTGGAGACGGGTGGGGGAGTTGACCAGGGATCCGGAATGTTGAATCCGACTTGGCCATGACTGACCCTGGAATTGCCGGCCGAAGGCTGTACTGGAGATAGACAATGACAGTGCTAGATGCTTGGATATGTATTATTGAAACACCCGAGTCAGCATAAGCAGGACAATGGGATTGTTGATGACTGCAGATCAGTGTGAATCCACGGACATCCCTCCGACCTGCTGAAGACTGTCGCACATGAATTCGTCAGCCAAGGCCAAGACCGACCCTTCAACCCCGCATAGAAGAGCGTGGGGGGGGGGGGGGGGGGGGGGGGGGAGAAGATAGTGAATTATGGACCGACGGGAGGACATGAATAATGCCAAAGGACAAGCAAAGTAGTCCCAGAGGTACTTGGTACTCGTGTCGAGCTCGGGGATTGACCGGGGCAAGAGAACCACAGGAAGTGGGCAACCCATCAAACTTCAAGCAGATCGGGCCAGTGGGGGATGTTGGACGTGGGGGTGCTTTGGAGAAGTTCAGTGCGGAGGTTTATTTAGCTGGTCCCCCAGACACTTGGAGAGATTCAGTTTACATTTTAAATTGTGATTTCTTCGATTTCTTCGATTTCTGCGGATTGCACTGCGGTAGGGACCATACTCTTGCTGTGACATCCTGCACATTAGCTGAACTCGGTCAGTGAGCAAGTGATTTGAGTTAACCTCGAGTTCAACCCTCAACTCAATTCTCATCTTTCCATCTTTCCATCTTTCATCTCCTTCAATCCCTCCACAATGACCGCCAACGGCACATACAAGCCCAACCCCTCCCCAAGGGACTCTACGTGCCCACCGTAGCCTTCTTCCATGCCAACGAGGAAATTGACCTGCCCACCACCCAGCAACACGCCACCTACCTCGCCCGCAGCGGCGTCACCGGCCTCGTCACCCAGGGCAGCAACGGGGAAGCCGTCCACCTCGACCGTGACGAGCGCAAGGCCATTACCGCCGCGACGCGCCGCGCCGTCGATGCAGCGGGCTACCCACACATGCCCATCATCGCAGGCTGCGGTGCCGCATCTACCCGCGAGACTATCCAGCTCTGCCAGGACTCTGGTGCCGCGGGCGCCGACGCAGTCCTCGTCCTACCACCCAGCTACTACAAGCCCCTGGTCAGTGCCGAGGCCCTGCATGCGCACTTTGTCGCGGTGGCGGATGCCTCGCCCGTGCCGGTCCTCATCTATAACTTCCCGGGGGCATCGTCGGGTCTGGATCTCTCGTCGGACCAGATCTTGGCTCTGGCCCAGCACCCCAATATCATCGGGTGCAAGCTGACCTGCGGGAATACGGGGAAACTGGCGCGCGTGGCGGCCGGGTCCAAGGCCGAGTTCCTTACCTTTGGTGGGTCGGTGGATTTCACGCTGCAGACGCTGATTGCGGGGGGCGATGGGATTATTGGGGGTACGGCGAATTTGATTCCGCGGTCGTGTGTGCGGCTCGTGCAGTTGTATGATGGGGGGAAGATTAGCGAGGCGCAGAAGTTGCAAGCTGTGGTGGCCAGGGCGGACTGGGCGGCGATTCATGGCGGGTTCATTGCGGTGAAGAGTGCGCTGCAGTCGTATCGTGGGTATGGCGGATTGCCGCGTCGGCCGTGTGTGGTGCCGACTGAGGCTGCGGCGGCGGGCATTCACGAGGAGTTCCGCGAGGGCATGGAGTTGGAGCGATCGTTGGAGAAGTCAAGTTGAAGGGATCCCAGCGGAGAGGTGGAATATGGTGGTTATTGTTTGTAAATGAATCATGATACCTTGTTTGTTCTGATATTTCCCCCGCACGGTGGCTTGTCCTCGTTTAGACACGCATGGCTCTTGTGTATGCACAATGCGATGCGTATCCCTACCGTAGCTTCGAGCAAAGCCACGATGGAGCGGGAGAGATCAACGGGACTCGTGCAATGTCACAGTGGCATTGTTTTTGTTTGCTCTCGTCAGTCTCGTGCCGTTCAGTTGAATCGCACCGGCATCGTCAGTTCCCACTCGGCTCATTTCTGCTTGAGCACAGACTCTCTGGACCCTCGTCTCCAATCTCCCTGGTCCCTTCTCCAGACTCCAATCTCCACCACGCTAACCCCCGATCGCGATCGTGAAATGACCAGGCTCGCTAGCCGAAGCCTCGCTCGGCAAGATAAGGCGCAACCCCCGATGTCGTATGTGGAGGTCGCACTTCCAGGCCTCGTCGCGCTCGCGTTTAAACGGCCAGGACCCCCGACTAGGGAGAATCGGGATTAGTCGCATGGGACCTGAAGATAGGGATGTAACCTCTGGAGCTCCAGGATGGAACTGAAACATCAAGAAAACGGTGCTGGCGGGATCCGATCTCGCTGGTCGCTAATCTGTGGAGGAAGAGTCGTAGACTGAGAGGAGTAGATTCCACCTTTCAGTCTGATTGCCGTGTTGACATTCGCGGGTTGGCTCCATAGTTTGGGGGGTTCCCCCATTGTTTGGCTGCGACGAGTCGACGACACGCTGCAGCATTCCAAACGATCAGCAATGGGATCGGCATGTCTACGATTATCCCATAAATAATCCCCAACTCCTCCGTCTCATCGCGTACTCTCTTCTCTCTCACCCTCACCCTCACCCTCCTTATCATTCCCCATCCTCCCTACTATGAAGTGCGCCACCATCCTCAGTGCGCTGGGGCTCCTGGCCGCGGCCTCGGCCGTCAAGGTGAACCCACTTCCCGCCCCCCGCAACATCACTTGGGGCTCGTCCGGTCCGATCCCAATTAAGCAGGTCACCCTGCGCACCTCCGGCCACAATAGCGCCGTGGTCTCCAGCGCCTGGGACCGAGCGTGGTCCGCCATCGTTGACCTCCAATGGGTGCCCGCCGCAATCGAGGCCCCCATCCCGACCTTCCAGCCCTTCCCGACCACGCCAGCCAACAAGAAGCGCAACTCGGCTGCAACGACCATCCGCACGGTCCAGCTCTCCGTCGTCGACGGGGATGCGGATCTGCAGCATGGCGTGGACGAGTCGTACACCCTGGAGGTGACGGCAGGATCCGGCACTGTCAAGATCACCTCCCAGACTGTCTGGGGCGCACTTCACGCGTTTACCACTCTGCAGCAGCTGATCATCTCCGACGGTCATGGCGGTCTGATCATCGAACAGCCCGTCAAGATCCAGGATGCTCCCTTATATCCTTATCGTGGTGTCATGGTCGATACCGGTCGGAACTATATCACCGTGCCCAAGATCCTCGAGCAGATTGACGGCCTGGCCCTGTCCAAGCTCAATGTCCTGCACTGGCACTTGGACGATACTCAATCCTGGCCCATCCAGATTCGATCGTACCCGCAGATGACCAAGGATGCCTACTCGAGCCGCGAGATCTATACCGAGGCCGATATCCGCCAGATCATTGCCTATGCCCGCGCCCGTGGTGTGCGCGTCATCCCCGAGGTCGATATGCCCAGTCATTCCTCCTCGGGTTGGAAGCAGGTCGACCCAAATGTCGTGACCTGCGTCAACTCCTGGTGGTCCAACGACAACTGGCCCCTGCATACCGCCGTCGAGCCGAACCCGGGTCAACTGGATATCATCTACAACGGGACCTACGAGGTGGTGGGCAACGTATACAAGGACCTATCAGCCATCTTCACCGATAACTGGTTCCATGTCGGCGGCGACGAACTCCAATCCGGCTGCTTCAACTTCAGCACATACATCACAGAGTGGTTCGCCGAGGACCCTTCCCGCACCTACAACGACCTCTCCCAATACTGGCTCGACCATGCCTTGCCCATCTTCCGCGGCACCGGCGGCCCCAAGCGTCGCCTAATGATGTGGGAAGACATTTTTATCAACACCCTCGCCGCCCACGACGTCCCCAAGGACATCGTCCTGCAATCTTGGAACAATGGCCTCACAAACATCAAAAACCTCACCGCCAGCGGCTACGACGTGGTCGTTTCCTCATCCGACTTCCTCTACCTGGACTGCGGCTTCGCGGGCTTCGTCACCAACGACCCCCGCTACGACGTCATGACCAACCCCGACGGCGACGTAACCTTCAACTTCGGCGGCAACGGCGGCTCCTGGTGCGCGCCGTACAAATCCTGGCAACGTATCTACGACTTCGACTTTACCGACAACCTCACCGCGTCCGAGGCCAAGCACGTCCTCGGCGCCGAGGCGCCCCTGTGGTCCGAGCAGGTCGACGATGTCACCATCTCCAGCAAGATGTGGCCCCGTGCCGCGGCGCTGGGCGAACTGCTCTGGTCGGGCAATCGTGATGCCAACGGCCAAAAGCGTACTACCCAGCTTACGCAGCGCCTGCTGAATTTCAGGGAGTATCTCGTCGCGAATGGTGTCATGGCTACTAATCTAGTGCCAAAGTATTGTCTGCAGCACCCGCATGCTTGTGATTTATACTATGACCAGACTGCAGTTTCTCCCTAGGCTAGTCGGTTAGCCGGCTAGGCCTTGTCTTTGCCTTGAGCTCGAGTTTGACCTTGACCCTTGCGGGTTCTTTGCTTCATTCTTTTTTCTTTTCTTTTCGGTTCTGGTTTGGTCTTCAGCGCTCCCTTTTCCCCCGGACTGGATATCGGTGGCCCGTTGGGACTGGCGGGGTTGGGGAATGCATATATCATCTTCGGATGCATTGATGCATTGATGCATTATTCGGCGACCCTCGTTTGCTTCTTGCTACTGTATTTATCCGCTTTTGGCTCTTCGATACCCAATATTATTAACTCGCTCGGGTATCTCTTTTCTTGGATAGCATTCCAACTCTCGTAACTGTTTTTCTTTATCTTCTACTCGCCGTCTCGGGCTCTGTTCATCCCATAACCCCCCTTGACATCCCTGCTCTTACCATCTCATACGCACTGTAGACACACGCAATATTGACAACATTCCTAATCCGGAAAATCACACAGACACGCCCATACCTAGGGTAACTTGTCTATCACGATCTAGACCAGTCGGACCCTAGATCTTACGACACGCAGTATCCCCATCACATGGTCAGCGGTTCTCATAGACCCGTGTCGTTTCAGAATCGATCTGGATAGGTAGTCACGTCCATATCCACCGGTCATCGCCGCTGTCGTGCGACGTATGTCGAGTGTATGTGTAGCAAGTTGTTTGCCTGATTAGGACCTGGAGTGTTTACGCGTACGTTTCTCCCGGGCTGAAGGTTTGATAGTGTATGGGAGTGGTTGAGAGTGGAAGATGGCGCTTTGGAGTATAGAGTGAAGTAGGTACGGCTATTCCTTGGAACTAGAGGGGTGCTTGATGAGGGGGGCATAGAGACTCGTCGTTATTCCTTTTCCCTCGTGAACCCGGTAGAGGTTATATCCCCAGTTCCACTCCGTCCTGGTAATCCTCCACCTCGGCGGTCTAGTAGTCTAAGAAATCATGACGCCCCGGCTGGGTTTCCCACAGGATGGACCCCTTCCTGAAGGGGTCCTCCGAGGTGGAGGGTTATTCCCTTTTATGCGGGCCGGACATAGAGGCCACCCACCGCGGCTAAGTTTTTGGATATTTTTAATACAGTACGTATATTAAAATAATCCATGGATTTAGAAGAGTATATTGATTTTTGTTAAAGCCTTAAATGCTATTAGTGGTTGTGTAGGTGTGGGCAATTGTGGGATATGAGCATCGCGCGATGTATTCAAGCATCGTCGAGCATCGCAAAATACCTCTATAGTGACACAGAAGGCACGGGTTCGATTTAAGAATGTGTCAGGATTCTCTATTTCAAATTCTCAAGAGTACCCATAATACTGTATTATCCCATCGTTACTAACCCCCGCACTGTATGCAACACCCGGCCTGTCCCTGTCCTACCGTCAGTTTGACCCTGGTACCACGTGGGATTCATACGGGCAGCGAATATCCCAATTCCAACCTGAGGTATGCCAGTCTTACGTACCCCAGAAACCCGGTTTATGTGACACCCATGCAGGGTGTATCCATATGCAACAATGTCCCTTGTCCTAGTATGTGGATCATGGAGGGAACCAAAATGGGCTGCATGTTATACTGAGAGTTTGAACTTACTATCTTTGTTAAGCAGATGTTGGGGCCGGTAAACCTTAGGCTTGGGGCTTTTTCTGGTGTTTCGAGTTGCAGAGGTATGACAGACTCATTTCAGATGATGAGGAGTAGACCGAGCCTTTGTAAGTGTGAGGTGTTCACCCCTCGCGATGGTAGGCCCTGTTTCGTGAGCATGGTAAGGCGCCCGGGTTGTGCAACCATCGCTGGTGATGGAGACTAGAGAAACGTGGGTGGTGCTTACCAATAGTTTGGTAAGAGCTTATTGTGACTCGGGACTTGTTTTATTGGTTCTTATTTGTCTGTGATGACGGGTTTAGGGAGTAGTTACACAGTTATGTGATGGGATGTTGGAGGTTGGATTGTGAGAGTGTCTAGTCTGATGGACTGGTCGGGATTTGGACGTACGGGATGAACTGAGCGGTGGTACACCAGCCGAACTCTTGATTAGTCTCATTCTAGAACTATAGGATTATACATTGTGAACGGATTTATAAACAATGAATACCTATTGAGCTTTGGGGGCTGTATAAATTCATAGTAGCTTGCTGACGTAGGGACAGGTTTCCAGACATTCTTAAGCCTCAACATCTTCAATCTGACTCGTAAGAGGTCATCTCAAGCTATCAAAGCTGTAACCTGTTTCAAAGATTTCTTTCGTGCCAATAATCGTTCGTAATCCCGGACTCCTCGGTCTTTGAGGCTGCTGAAACACCAAGCAAGGCGACTCAGTTTGGCATGACTGTCTTACCCAAGAAAAATCTACAAGGCAGACCCTGGTCAAGTACTTTCTACTAGGCCCGATAAACCCAAAGACCGATTGTGTAGGTCGGTACCTGGGCGACTAATTCCTGACTCCTGCCAGGTTTTGAATAATTCTTTTCTAGAATCAAGCAAGGCACGCAAAGCACACGTAAGTCATGCGTTGACAATCAGCATATACTACTTTTCGCACCGAGTTACCCTCTTCATCAGCGGGGCAAGATGAGAAACGAGTCATTATCTACAGTATTCCCGATAAACCCCTCAATCCAAATCCGAACTCTACAGACACATCATATCGCCCAACTCATCCAATCTACAAGAATACCAAAAACCTAAAATCACCAACTGCATGCCTCATTTGCAAGCCGCTCGGCTCACGTTGCACGGATCATTAGTCCGTTCGTATCAATGGCCAACTTCCCGCATAAACTCAAGCCACAACTGCTCGTGTTGGATCTCCCGTCACATCCACCTATGTGCGGTGCTATGTATGCTTGCCAATTCAGGATTCTGGCAGCACAAGCCGAGCCGAGTCCACTGCCATGGTAATCGAGGTGTGCATTACAGGAGTGACAACATGGCACTGGGCACGACACCCTAATGCACTGCAAATCAAACGCACCGGGAATGGAGCGGTCTGGCTTTGAGAATCACCCACAGAAGTTGAAGTAATGTAATGACGAGAACTAAGTGTAGGATGTAATGCGGCAGCCAGAACAGTCTACCGTTAGCATAAAAACACCAGAATTTCGAATCCCAATGTAGTAAAAGGTGCCGTGCCACCTGCAACGCCATTCCAGTCACAAAAAAAGGTCTCTGAAGGAAGAAAAAGAAAAGACTACCACAACATTGTAGGCTCTAGACAAGATACCATGATCACATCGACGGACCAGATCGTGACACCGCTCCAGCACTGTGGAACTAGATCACAGAAGACGAAAAAAAAGTGGATAGTATTTCTCGGACTTGACGAGGCGAGCTGTCTATTGGCTGGTGGTTGGTGCAGATCAAAAGGGCGCGGCAATGAATTCCCGCGGTGGAGAGCGGAACTGCATGGACTGGATTGGTTTTGAAGGAAGATTGAATTCTCATTTGGGGAAAAGAAAAAGGAGCTCCAGTACCCCCATTTGGAGTGGAGTAGAGGTTGGTCCTCCCCACATGCCACGATGAGGTCGAGTTTCCGATCGGATGGAGAGGTGCATGGTTTATTAGGCCTATACATGTGACAGACGACCATGTGCAAGAGAAGCTATCTATAATTCGTTTCAAAGTGGAGATAGTAAATATACGCCATAAAGTAGTGAAATGAAAGACGCATGGCTCGAGACGATTACTTCTTCTTTCCTCGTCTATGCCGTGACTGACTCCTACACTTTTCTTTTTCGCTCTCATCCCGGACACAATTTGGGGGTTCTGAGCAAGCTAACTGAACTAAGGGCCGAAACCCTCACCCCTGGGCTGTCTACCAGAATTCCCTGCACCAGTGGAAGAATTATCCGAGACACCCACGAGGTACCAGCGGTGTGGAAAAAGGGGCAATGGGCTGTGAAATGCACATGGAGTTACGCTGTAAGAACTGTATTTCATTAAAAGAATTGATACATCAAAAAGACCTATCTATCGATCATGTCGATCAACGCCCTGTCCAAGCTTACCCAGCACGGCACTCGGGCGCTTATGCAATCTGCCTGCCGCGATCTATTCTCGCGTCAAGCTGTCGATCATGCATCGGTGTAGACGAGGTGATTTGTTCTCGTGTATAGAGATGCATTAACTTTGATGTATATATATTAAATGTGACGAGGTGTGCAGGTGTCGCAATATGGAAGTCATCCGTATAAGGCACTCGAGACAAATATAAATGTGAAGCCAATGCTTGGTATTCTTGAGAGCCTGGCTCTATTAATTCGTGGTTGCAGGTGGAAGTGACAACCACAACCTATTACTACAGTATACATGTGAGATATGGATCACGCATACTATATGATAATGTAGATCGATACAAGCCCAGGACAAGCCTTCACATGCTATCGAATGCATCCGTTGTGTCTGCAGTGCACCCGGACTTCCTGCCAGTTTGAGGGATCAAGGTGCCTCGGGCACAAGTGATAATGTATATCCACTTATTACAGGCCGGCACAATCGTTGGCGCGGCCTGTCTCTGGATGCCTGACTAAGTCGTCGCTTAGAATGCAATGATGGTACTTTTGAACTCCATAACAATGGATCTAAGCGCTGCTCATGACTCGAGTCCTTCCTTTTTGGGAATCACACTTGAGTAAGGTGATGGGACAGGACACGCCTAACACGGACAGAATATGTCTGCCCAACCTAGGCAATGGATGAGTCGTTACTCACACATCGCGATTGAGGCCCAGGAAGCGCCTTTCGGGTATGTTCGGGCCCTACGCGTCCATGATACACAATGTGCAGTCTTTTTAGCATCGCAGAGGAATCTAGTCTAGGATTTGATTTCTAATTTCCCATGGCTTGGTCTATTGGTCATCCTTGTGTCTGAGCATGTCTCGCGCTGATTCGCGCCCGGCCATCCCATTGTCCTACGAGCACTTTACCCGAAGGAGCAATATTCGTAATCGCAAACCCATGCAATAACTAATGGTACAAATTTCATT